ATTAGAACACAGGACAGTCTGAGTCCAGGACAGCAAGCTTTCAACCACTATGTTATGCAAAAGAATCAGAGCTGAGGGTACACAGACAGTGTCTGGGATGCTGATGAACTGGAGAGTAAATAGGTGAGATGTAAATCAGGTAATAAAAAAGTATAACTAACAGTATTTGAAGGCTTACTCCATGACAGGAACTATGTTTGGATATTCCCATACATTATCTTATGTAACTGTCTCAAGGAATGATCTGAATGTTAAAGCCAAGGGCACTGGGGCTCAGCGCAGGTGATTCAGATGCCTGAGGTTGCACAGTGAGTGCAGAGCCAGGAGTCAAACTTCGGTCTACCTGACTCCAAAGGCCTTGCTTTTCACCTAACCAGAGAATGTCTGACCTTCTCCTCAGTCACAGAAACAAAGTAAATTATAGATAGATAGATAGATAGATAGATAGATAGATAGATAGATAGATAGTGTGGCTGGCGTGGCTCAGTGGTTGAGTGTTGACCTATGAACCAGAAGGTCACGGTTCGATTCTCTGTCAGGGCACATGCTGGGGTTGCGGGTTTGATCCCCAGTGTGGGGTGTGCAAGAGGCAGTCAATCAATGATTCTCTCTCATCACTGATGTTTCTATCTCTCTCTCCTCCATTTCTCTCTGAAATCAATAAAAAGTATTTTTTAAATGGAAAAAACCTCATAGCCATAAAAGAGTCAAAGTGGTATGGTGGTTAGTACCCAATAAATATTGGCTGGTATTTATTCCAGTTTCCTATTGCTGCATAACAACTCACCATGAGCTCAGCATGGCTATAGTGGCCTCCTTGCTAAAAGGAGAATGATATCTACAGGACAGATCAAAACTTGATCTAATAGCGGATTCCATCTGAAGGAGGGGGTAGCCCTCAGTTCCTGGCCAAATACCACGGTACTGGAGAAGGTCATTTCCCTCCCAGACCCCTTGGCTACTTGGGGAGCCCCTTGGAATCAACGGAGTGAACAGCAAAGGGGAGTCATATGTTTTAAGGACGGCAGCACAACCATCATACCAGATGAGCCTTGCTTTCTGCCGGTGCCTCTCAACCCTGAAGAGACATGGCTGATAAAGGACAGGCCTCGAGGGTCCACACCATTAGCCAAATGTCAACAGTCATCTTAGCAATAGAGGATGCCTTGGCCAACAATTGGCATCATCCCCACATTTTTTTCAGACCTTCAGGCCATTGCCCATGACCTAGCTGTCTGGTCCAACACTGAGGACAACAGCTCTTTCTTCAAAGTCACCCCCTTTGGGGAAAAGAACTATTGGAATGTTCTTGTTTCACAGATGCCCAAAAATAAAAATCAAGGTCAGACATATCTTTGCACATACTAAAGCCACATTACAAGACCTCACCAAGACACTATCCTCTTCAGAGTTCCAGACATTATTGACAGTGACCAGGGCATTCATTTCTAAAAATATATAACACTGGGCCCTTGAACAAGGCATTCAATAGAATTTTCACCTCCATTACTGGCTCCAGGCTGTAGCCCTCATAAAACATCATAATGGCTTACATAGAAAAGTTCAAATTCAATGAAATGAAATGACACATTTTAGTCAAACACCAGGGGTGAATTGTAATAGAGTCCATGTTTGTTAATGTGCTTGATCATCTTTTCATATGATTATTGGCTCATAATGTAGGCAATAAAAGAATTCTCAATAAATTTAAAAGGATTGATGTTATACAAAGTATGCTTTCTGACCAAAGCAGAATTAAAGTCAAAATCTATAACAGATTTGACAAAGCAATAAAACTTGTAAAAATTAAACAACATACTGAGCTTCTATCTTTTTTAAAAGTATGTTTGTGTTGACAGTATTATAGGTGTCCCCCATTTTCTCCCTTTTTGCTCCCTCTACCCATCCCCTCCCCCCCGCCTCCCCCTCACCTTTACCACATTATTGTCTGTACCGATGGGCTATGCATATACGTATATAAATTCTTCAGTTTACCTCTTCCTGTCCCCCTCCCCTCCCCTCTGAGATATATCAGTCTGTTCCATGCCTCCATGACTCTGGACTTATTTTGTTGGTCAATTTATTTTGTTCATTAGATTCCACAAATAAGTGAGGTCATATGATATTTGTCTTTCTGTGCCTAGCTTATTTCACTTAGCACCATAATCTCCAGGTCCATCCATGGTATCTCAAAGGGTAAACGATCCTTCTTTTTTAGAGCTGCATAGTATTCCATTGTATACACGTACCATGGCTTTTTTTTTTTAAATTTAACCATTCATCTATTGGGCACTTGGGCTGTTTTCAGATCTTAGCTATGTAAATAACACTGCTATGAACATAGGCGTGCATATATTCTTTCTGATTGGTGTTTTACGGTTCTTAGGATATATTCCCAGAAGTGGGATTGCTGGGTCAAACAGCAGTTCCATTTTTAATTTTTTTGAAGAAACTCCATGTTGTTTTCCCTGAGTTTATATCTTAAGAAGTTAGGCCCTGGCCAGTTTGGCTCAGTGGATAGAGCGTTGGCCTGTGGAATGAAGGGTCCCAGGTTCAATTCTGGTCAAGGGCACTTGCCTGGGTTGCGGGCTCCATCCCCAGTGGGGGGCGTGCGGGAGGCAGCCGATCAATGATTCTTTCTCATCTTTGATGTTTCTGACTCTCTCTCCCTCTCCCTCCTTCTCTGAAATCAATATATATATACATACACACACTGAGAGGCCAGATTATTATGACCACCCCATCAGTACTTCATTGACACTTCAAAAAATACTGAATATTGAAAACTTCCTAAGCAAATACGCTCAAGGTTTTATTATTATTATTGTTTGCATAACTAATTCACTTCATTGTACTGATGGGGTGGTCATGCGTAATAATCTGGCTGGTCATAATAATCTGGCCACTCAGTATATATATAGTAAATTACACTTAAACTGAAGGAAATAATAAATATAAAAGTTGAAATCAATGAAATAGAAAATGTATAAACAGTCAAAATATCAATGAAACAAACACTAAAAAACAAAGATCAATAAAACCTTACAAGGCAAAAGGGCTTTGCAGATATGATCAAGGACAGTGAGATGGGGAGATTATCTTGAATTATTCAGGAAGAACCAATGTAATCACATGGGCCTTTAAAATCGGAGAAACTTTCCTGGCTGAACCAGAGAGATAAAATCAAAGAAGAAAAGGAAATTTGGCCCTGGCTGGTGTTTCTCAGTGGTTAGAGTATCAGCCCATGCACAGAATGTTCTCAGGATTGATTCCCAAAGTCACATGGATTCGCTCCCCACCCCCAGTCTGGGTATATGAGGGAGGCAACCAATCGATGTGTCTCTCTCCCATGGATACTTCTCTCTCTCCCCCTTCCACTCTCTCTGAAAAGCAGTGGAAAAAATATTCTCATGTGAGGATTAACAAAAACAAAAACAGGAAATTTGAAGCATAAGAGGCACTTTAATGGCCACTGAGGGCTTTGAAGATGAGGAAATGAGGAAGAATAATAAGAAGTCAGGAAAATTCCCTGGCAAGTGGAATGGGGAAACTGAGACAGAAGGCTAATTCAAATTGGTTATTGATTAGAAGGAGTTATAAGGGAGACTTCTGGTAGGCTGGAAATATCTTGATCTAGATGGTGTTACACATGTGCATGTATGCAACAATACATTAAGTCATACACTTAATATTAACACCCTTTGCTGTGTTTATATTATACATCAATAAAATGTAAAGAAAATAGAAACATAGATTCAACCATGGAAATACAACTTCACTTTACCATATTGCTATCTTCAGATTGAAGTGGCTATAGAATAAAATCACCACTTGGATGCTTTTCTCCCTCCTGGCAGTACAAGCTCACGGTAACCTGCAAACCAGATCAAGATGCAAAGATGATCACCCAGCCCGCTCCTCCATATACAGAGGAAATAAACTGAGGCCGGAAGAGGTGTGGGCTGGAGTTCCACAATGAGTTAGTGGCAGAGCCAGCCTAGGACTCAGATCTCAGACACACCCCATTCTACTCCTGGGCAACTGTTTGCAAGAAAGGGCTGGGTATGGTGGGTACAGTGGGTACAGAGGAGGAAGGGGTCAGGTCTCAGGCCAGCAGGCAGGGTAACTCAGGGCGGCTGGAACTCCAACAATCTGTGGCAGTGTCGCTGATTTTCAGTAAGTTGGAACCTCCATTTGCGTCTCAGAAATAAAGAGAAGAGCCTGCGGTTTCAAGATGACACCCAAGGAACCCCAAGGGCCAAAAAGCGCCAAGGGGGCCTATGGGCTGGGATGGAAAGTGAAACTTGCAAGCTCTTCCTTTGACCTTGGCCAAGGTCGGTCCCTCTGGACTCACTCCTCTGTTCATTCAGTGGGGGATGATCCCAGTTAAGGCCCAGGGAACAGAAGAAAGGAACAGGTTGAAGGGCGGTCCTCAGCCGGGTGCTGTCCCCCCCCCCCCCCCCCCCGCAGGACGAGCCCCAGACAGGCGGGGCGCCCCGGCGTGGGGGAGGGGGGGGCGGGCTGGAAGTCTCGCCGTAGCAGCATCAAGCAGGAGACCGGCTACATCAGGGTGAGGAACCTGATTGGGGGGGGGGGGCGGGGGAGCACAGAGACGGAGGAGGGTCCCGGGCTCTCCTCCTCCCGGCTCTGCGTTCTCTGTGGGGATCGGTGGCCTCCAGCGGGGGTGGGGGGTGGGGGGGGGTGTCTGTGCGCCCCCTCCCCTTCCCAGACTCCACCCGCCTCGCCCCTCACATTTCCAACTCCAAAGGACAACTTGTCGTGGCTTCCGAAGGGGGGCTTCTTCCTGCCCCCCAGACTCTGCTGTCCTTTTGTCTGTTTCTGCATTTGACGGTTTCTGAGATTGGCTTCTCTCTTGTCTGTTCTCTCTCTCTCTCTCTCTCTCTCTCTCTCTCACACACACACACACACACACACACACACACACACACACGCACACACACACACCCTCTCTCTGCCGGCCATCTCGGCGCCTTTCCTCCGAGACTCTAGCCTTCCACAGGCGCGCAGGGCCCATTCCTGGAATCCTGACGCAGCGATCGGATGGCGCCCCGGGGAGGGGCAGGTGAGATTCGCCGGAGCCCCGCCCGCAGGAGCCCCGCCCGGCCGGGACGCGGGGAAGGTGGCGCCAGCGCCAATCTGCCGCCGGGGGCCCTGTCCTCGCCCCCCCACCCCCTCTGTTCCCCGGCGCCAGGGGGACCGGGACGCAGGAGTCCCTTTGCGCCCCCAGCGCCTGGCTGCGCCGCTGCCCTGACCCAGACGCCGCGCCCGGAGGCCTCCAGGGGCTGGAGCCGCCCAGCCCCCCGGCTCCCCAGCGCCGGCCACTTTGGTCCCTGGACTGTGTCGCGCCTAAAGGCCCGCGTTCCCGCAGCCTGTGAAGACCCGCGGAAGACCTGGCGGTTGGGAAGGTAGGTGAGGCACCCCGCGCCCTTTCTCTCGCTGCTGGGGACCCCGACCATGCAGATCAGAGCGCGGGCGTGGAACACCCCGGCCCGGACTGGGCACCCCGGCCGCGCATTGGGGACTGATGGCCGCGGCGGGCGGGCCTGAGCGATAGGGACCACCGGTTAACCTTGAGCTCCGACCGATCCCACCTCCCCGAGGGGCCTGGGGCGCCCGTGCAAAGCCACGGCCTCCCGCTCTCTCCCACCCCATCTCCTTCTCCAAGCCCGGGTGTGTGAGGGGGCAGAGGGCCGCCTCCCATCACTCCCCCACGACTTGGGCTCCCCAGAACCGGGTGTCGAATGTGCAGCCTCAGCCCCGTCTCCACTCACAGCCCCGAATCCCAATGAACGTAGCGGGAGAGACCGGGATCGGCTTCCCTGAGCGGCCTCGTGGGTAGGGGTCGCTTAGAAAGGGTTGTTACTCTTTCTCTAAGGAAATTAGGAATTGGTCTGGAGCTCTGGGTCCGTACAGGAGCCCCGATCCCCAAGTTGTGGAACCCCCCCCTCTCTAGCAGCCCCTCCTGAAAGGGAAGGGAAATGCTTGGGGAAGCCTCCTGCTGGCCACCACCTTCCACTGAGGGTGGAGTCCTAGGCCCCCTTGCCTTCCGGACTGTGCTGGGGCTCCGGGCCTCCTGTCCGTAAGAGCTGTATCTGAGTCTGAAGGGAGGCCAGGCACCGCCATCTTGCTTGAAACTCATACCCACAGAAATGGAGCGAGTGCTTTTTTGGTGAGAGGGCCTGTTGTTTGCAGGGGGAGGCAGGAGGCAGGAGGCAGGGAAAAGTTCCCCATCTGTATGGACGGGGCCAATACCAAATCGGGTGGATTTTGCAAAGGCGTGCACGTGTAGAGAAGCAGGCAGAGTGAGCCTCCAGGCTGGGCATTGTGGAGTCACTTAGGAAGGAGTGGCCCTCGGGAGTCAGCGAGGAACCCCGAGGAACCCCGTCTCAGGGCCGCTGTGCCTCTCGGAATAGTAAGCGTCGTGTAAAGATTGAGGATTTGTACAAACGTGTAAAGGATTCATGGAACGATGTGCGCCCGGTCGTGCTCAATAATAAAGGTCGCAGGTGGGAATTTCATGTCTTCACCTATACGTCCTCGTGCCAAAGTACCACAGTGCACAATATCGTTCCCATATTCCACATGCCAAATGTGGGAACATACAGCATAGAGCTGTACTTTCTAGAATCAAGAGAAGCATAGATACGTAAGTGGAAGTTTGCATGTCTCGCTGTGCTTCCCTGATCCTGGCAGGAAGAGAGGGCTTTTCCTGATATAATCTTCTTTCCAAGTCCCCCTTTTCCTAGAGAGGTCTCCTCACTCCCCCAGCCCAGGAGGGGTGAAGCCTTCTTCCATTCCCAACCACATGCCCTGGGCTTCCCAGGAGGCAAGTTGCCCGCCCCCTGCCAGGCCTTAGACCCACCACCCAATCACACACACACACACACACACACACACACACTGCACATACACACGCACATACACACGCACATACACAGGCACATTGCCCCAGAACAAATGCGAGAAAAGGCTTTCCTAGCCCCAGGCAAGGCTCTGTGGGAAAGCTCAGAAGCCCCTAAGAAGAGCCCCTCACTCTTTCACACTGCAAATTGGACACCCAGTCCCCCACCTCTACCCCCAGCAGATGGCTGGCAGTTCTGCGTTGTCACCGCCTCAGAAAGCACTGATCCTATGACAGGAGCATCTGTTAGGCCGGGAACTTAGTCTCCAGCCCACCCTGCCTCCGACTTCTCTTCTTGGCCTGATTCAAATCAACACCAGGCCGCAAGTGCTGCTGGACTAGAGGGTTTGATTATTTTGATCTATTGGAATTTTCTCCTCCCTCGTTGCACTCTTGCTCTTGGGTTTTGACTTCTGTTTCTCCTGAGCTTAGGAAATCCTACCTTTCCTGGGCTTGGAGGGAAGGGATAGAGAAAGGAAGGAAGAGTTGACCCACCCAGGAAGCACCCAGAACTTGGAAACATGAAGTCATCATAGTAGACCCTTTCCTCCAAGGCCGAGAGACCATTAAGTCCCACAACCACCCCCTAACCCCCATGCTCCATGGTAGCATCTTCTCTGAGAGGAACTAAGAATGTGGAGCTTCTGCAGTTTTTAAAAATAGGAAGAGGAAACAATTCCCGAGGTTATTCAGGTGGCGGATGTGGAGGGAGTCTTCCGAGGGAGGCTGCCGTTTGCCCAGGAGGCCTGGGCTCTCAGAGAAATGAAATCCTCGGGGCTGAAGGCATTGGGGCAAGTCTTGCTTACTGAGCCCGAGCCTCAGTGCTTGGCCCTGCCCTGGGGAGCTGGGCTGTTCCCCAGGAGGAGGTGTGATCAGAGGACTGGAGGCCCAGGTCCCTCTCCTGCCTGGATGCCTCATGGGCCCCAGAACCTCTTCTAAGACAAAAAGCAGGAATGGCTGAAAGAAAAAACAATCCTGGCCAAAACCGGTTTGGCTCAGTGGATAGAGCGTCGGCCTGCGGACTGAAAGGTCCCAGGTTCGATTCTGGTCAAAGGCATGTACCTGGGTTGCGGGCACATCCCCAGTAGGAGATGTGCAGGAGGCAGCTGATCGATGTTTCTAACTCTCTATTTCTCTTCCTTCCTCTCTGTAAAAAATCAATAAAAAATATATTTAAAAAAAAAACAATCCTGAAAAACCCAGATGTGCAATCTGCGTAGACACCTAGAGCTCTGCTGCAAGCAGTGGGAAAAGTCTGTCCCCTTGACCCCAACTTGCCTGTGTGGACGGGTCGGCTCGAGGTTCAGATCTTGGCCTCTAGAGCACAGTCTATGGAGCAAGATTGTAGGGTTTGGGCTTCTTACCTCCTCTCCCCATGGCTCCCCTTGCTTGCTTCCCCTTCCAGAGCTCCTCAGAAGGCGACCAGGGCTTTCTGGAGAGCACGGATCCCACAGTTCCAGAGGGTTTACACCCCGTAGACAGCAGGCTAAGAACTTCTGTTTGGATTGGTCAGAGGAGTTCATGTCTGGAAAGTGCCGAGGCCAAATCCGAATGCCCATGTGGATCTCCACTTTTTGCTTTTCAGCTGATGCCCGGTGCTTACCAGGTCCGCCGCCTGGGAAAGCAGCCAGCGGAGGTGCTCCTATCCGCCCCCCAACTGTCTGTACAGCAAAGGGCAAAAGACACCCGGACCGGAAAGGTGATCACAAATCTCAGGCCTTTTCCTGGGGAAGATGCCTGAATGCACTCCCTCACGCAGCTCACTCTCCATCCTTCCCCATCCCGCTCCTCAGCCCCGCTTACAGGAATAACAAACAGCCTCCACCACAAGGTGATCACTAAGGCCAAAGCGCCCCCATCCCCATCCCATCGCCCCTCTTGGGGTGGCCTCCTTGCCCCCTTCTGAGCCCTCCCTTTTGAAGTCTTCCTGGGCTAGTGTTCCAGGCTGAATCAGAGGCCAGGATTTAGTTGAGAATAAACTGGGTTTTAGCTAATAATGATGAGAAAAATAGCCATGAACTCCAGAGCCTCCTCTGTCCCGAGAAGTTTCCCCTTAAAGGACGGCGGAGGCCGGTGCCATGGCCCAGCCTCAGGGACTGATCCGAATGCCCCAAACTCTGTTATAGGGAGAGAAGCCAATATCCAGAGACCCCATCCTGTAACACATTGAAAGAGGATCCAAATGTCTACCTAGTAAACTTCTTACCTCTTTCTCAGTCCGTTCCTTCTCGCCCCTGGGACTAGTCTCCTGGGCTGGGGGGCCGAGGGAAGGAGGGAACGAGGCTACTCCTGGGAGCGGAGACTCTCTGCTGGGCGGCTCCCGCCATGGCTGGGGGAGAGACGAGTGACTGCCGTGGGTCCAGGGGGCCTGGGGATGGGAATGACGGGAGAAATGGTGAGGGGGTTTGAGACCGCTGCGTCCTTCAGTCCCCAACTCCGCCCGCGTTTAGCAATGCACCCAGCGCCCCAAGTCCTGTCTAGGGTGCCCTAGCGCGGGTCCTGCGCGGCGGCCCCCCACAGCGCACCCCGAAGTGTTTGCCGAGGGTCAGCACCTTCGTCCTGCCGGCCCGCAGGGTGAAGCTGCCTGTGCAAGGCTCTGGCCGGCGCTGCGACTGTCCCCCGCGGCGGCAGGACAGGGAGGTCCCGGGCGGGGCGGCGGCTGAGTCGGAGCCTCAGAGTTGGGGGCACCTCGGGACGCCACGTCGCCAGCCCCATCTGCCTCCCGCTCGGCGTTAGGAAGGAGGGTTTGAAATCGAGCTGCAGTGTCCGGAGCGACACTCAGGAGGCGAAGGGAGGTCGCAATGAACACAGGTGTCGCTTCCTACGCTGCCGTGCCATGGCCTGTCCTTGCCAGCGCTGCCGTCGGACGGAGGAAGGAATGGGCTGGGCTGGGGCTCTGTCCAGCCACCAGCGTAGGGAGAGGCTGAGCCAGCGCCTTGCCCCAGGCGGATCCTGGATCCCCGGCGGTGCGGGAGCCCTTTCCCAGTGAGCAGCTCCTTCCCGCGGGTCGGCCCGGAGGAGAGTGGGTCCTGGCCTCTGGGCCTCGGCTCTCCCTCCAGGCCGCCGCCCGCGCCGGCACCACTGGCCCCGTCTCCCGGCTCTGGATTTGCCTCCCAGGTGCGCCTTTCCTCCCCACAAGCCCGCCAGCTCCCCCGCGGAGGGGCAGCTCCATCCTCCCGTGCCCACGAATTAATCAGAGAGCCCCCGGGAGGCCGAGGAGTTGTAAACGGGAGGTTTAGAGCGAGGGGGCGCTGATGAGGCCAATCATCTCCCGGTAAATTCGCGAACCGGAGGCGCGCCAGGCCGGGGAGGCGGCACCTACGCGCCCTTCTCAGCACGCGGGTTTTGGCCGCGCCACCTGCCGCCCAGCGAGCTCCGGCTCCGCCTCCTGTCGGGCTGTTTCACTTCGCTCCCTTGTTCCCCTTCTCTCTGGCCACCTTGGAGGACCCCTTTCTCCGTGTCTGCTTCTGTCTGCCAGTCCAGATGTCTCTTGCGCCCTTTCCCGTGCCCAACCCCGACCAAGAGAACTTGCAGGTCAGGGCGAGGGGTCTTGGCTGGCGGCCTGGCTCCCGGATCTCAGACGCAGCAGCACCGCAGGCTGGGCTGGAGCTGAGAGAGCTAGAGATCTGTGGGAAATATATGCCCATCCCCACCCCCAAGGGCGAGGACATTTGCAGGAAAAACGGACCCTGAAACTTTTGGTTCTCTTTGGGGTGGACCAGCTCAGGACAAGGCCGCAAGTGGCAGGAGTGATCCAGGCCCCAGTGGAGAAAAGCTTCCTATCATTTTTGTTAGAGACATAGAGGCTTGTACCCGCCTTCTCTGTGTGGACAAGGGGGACAAGGTAGGGCCTCATCGCCTCCTGGAGTCCTCAGCGCGGTGGATCCTGGGAAGGCCTGGTGACAGGATCCACCCAACTTTGTGATCCACACAATTGCTAGTCCTCCCTTTTCATTTATCTTGTGGGAGACCCAAGTCTATTTTATTGCCTCTCTCTGCATCCCATTTGTGATATCTGTACGTGAATGGTGAGTGAAAGGTTCTTAACATTTTTTGGGGGGTGTATCGCTCATTGATCATTTAAATCTGATGAAAGTTATTGATTCTTACCTCCCCAGAAAAAAATGCACTTAGGTAGTACTCACCAAATCCCACAATTTCAGAGGGTTTCAGACCCTTGGACCCCAGGTTAAGATCTCCTATTTGGATTGATCAAAGAAGCTGGTATCTGGAAAATGCAGAGACCAAATATGGCCCTTTAATGTAGGTCTTCACTCCCCTACCTTCTGTGGCTGATATCCTGGTGTTTGCCAGGTCAACCTTCAGCTTTAAAAGTACTCCTCTCCCCAGCACTATTAATGGGATCTGGTTTCCCTGTGGGGTTCAGTCTTTCCTCCCTTCCCAGGACAAGGGGGCTCAAGCAAGTGGGGAAAGCTTTGCTGGGGAAAACGGATTTTGGGATGGGACCATCTGCTGGAGGGAAGTTGGGCTTGGGCAGCCTCCCACAGGGAGTAAAAAAAATACTGAAACTCCTAGGAAGGGAGGCCATCCGGAGACAACCCCCTAGATAATTTTGTCTGTGAGTCAAACAAGGGGGACCAGGCAGTAGAATGTTTTAATCTACCTGTTTAGTTTCCTCAGAGACTCTGGGCTTAGGCCAAGGTTAGAGGCTGGGGGATACCAAACTCTGGGCTGAAAGGGAAAAGATTTGTTCCTAAACATTTGTGTAACTTGTTTGTAGGAGCCAAAAAACAGGTGGCCCCTGACAAACCAGGGCGAAGGGGTAGCGGTTGAGTGGGAGTGGGAGGTTTAGGAACCTCCTAGTCTCCCCCAGCCGACTGTGTTTGGCTTCTGTAGATGTAGCTCTTCACCCCCAGCCAGTAAAAGCTACTGACCTTCTCCCCATGGTCCAGTGACCTGAAAAGTCAGGTTTTCTTGGGGTCTATGATATGAATAAACTTCCTTCTTTTAGGACTATATTCAGACCAATGAAGGGAACTGGAAATTATCTGGTTTATTGTATTCTCCCCCTACACACAGACATACACATTCCAAACCCAATCCCGCCTGGCTGGTCCTTAATTGCCTAGACATCTCAGGCAAATGTGACTTGGGGCAGGAAAGACCCGTTTCTGCCTGCCCCTCTCTGAGCTGGCACAACGTCCCCACCTACCACCAGCCCAGTAGTTCTGGGCTGTAACAAGAAGCCAATGGTTGGTTGGCTAAGATTATTCAGAATCCTGCCTGGGGAAAAAAAAAAAAGAAAGAAAAGAAAAAAGGAAAAACAACAACACGATTTTCTGCTTGGGACAACTTAAACTGAATAATTCTGGCTGTGAACACCTGGCCTAAATGCTTTTAATCAGAGCAGAAGAAATATATGCCTATTTGTTCCCTACTTTCCTAATTAAAAAAAAGTTAATTGGTGTTCTCAGGAACGTCCCACCGAGGATCACAGGCCTCTAGAGCAGTGATGGCGAACCTATGACACGCGTGTCAGAGGTGACACGCGAACTCATTTTTTTGGTTGATTTTTCTTTGTTAAATGGCATTTAAATATATAAAATAAATATCAAAAATATAAGTCTTTGTTTTACTATGGTTGCAAATATCACAAAATTTCTATAGGTGACATGGCACCATCCCCACCGTGGAGTTGGCCTCTTTCTGACAGTGGGAGGGGGTGCCCTCAGATCCCCTGACTCCACCCTTGCACCAGGACTTTGGCCCTGAAAAGGCAATGCTGCCATGGCCAGAAGTTCTTGCCCAGCAGGGTCGTCCCCCTCCCAGGGTTCCTGGACTCCCTTCCGGGAGCAGAGACCTCTCCCTGGCTGCAAGTCAGCACCCTGAGCACGGGTGGGGTGCAGCTCCAGCTGGAGCCTTGGCGCTTAGCCCACTGCTGGGCACACATAGGCACTCCACTCGGGAAATGTTGAATGTGGAATGAAAGTTCCCACCAGGCAAAGGTCTTGTTTGGGGAGTCTCCAAGGCCTCCTGGCTGCTCAGGAAATGAGCGAGACCTCCACGTTTTAATTCCAGCTCCCTGGGTCCCCTGTTTCTTTTCTACTCATTCTCTGAGGCAGAATCTTGCTCCTCTGGCAAAAGGAAAAGGCTCATTGAGAATCTCCATGAGAATATGCTGCCACTCCCCAGACCTTTCCCCCAGCAGATCCAGATATTTCAGCCTAAAGGGAGTTTGAACCTGAAATGAGCCAGATAATTGCCCCAATTCTCTGTTCCTCATTGAAGAGGGAGTTGCAGGCCAAGGGGTTCAAGTGGCCTCACTTTTATGGACATTGCTCTAAGTCAAAAGAATTCATTATACATATACAGCTGAGAGGCACACACTCCAATCTAGACTGGTTCTCTGGGAACAAAGCAGGCTTCTTCCTCTCCCCCTTTGCCTCCTCCTCCACCTCTTCCTCCCTCATCTCTCCTCCTCCTCCTCCTCCTCTTCCCCCTCTTCCTCCTCCTTGTTATTAATAGTTACTATTTACTAATTGCTCCCTGTTTACCTGGCATTGTGCTAAACCCTAGACCAGTGTTTGGCAAACTCATTAGTCAACAGAGCCAAATATCAACAGAACAATGATTGAAATTTCTTTTGAGGGCCAAATTTTTTAAACTTAAACTATATAGGTAGGTACATTGTTATTAACTTAATTAGGGTACTCCTAAGGCTTAGGAAGAGCCACACTCAAGGGGCCAAAGAGCCGCATGTGGCTCGTGATCCGCAGTTTGCCAACCACGGCCCTAGACACATTGTACATTAACTAATCCTTACAAGGATCCTAAGGGTTAAGATATCCAGATTTTGCAGATGCAGAAGCTAACTTATTTTTCCAGGCATGAAGCCCCCCCCCCCCCTCTCTCTCATAATGTTGCTGTGATACTGGCAGATTTGAATGCTCAAGAGGTATAACATGGAATGGAATGGAAATAAAATTGACAAGGAAAAGCTCTTAAAGTTTTTGAAATATGGAAAGTTTTAATAGAATACAGCTAGTTTCTCCTGTGTTCAAGAGAACAAGGAAGTGATTCAATTAACTGGCTAATTCTGAGCCCCAAATGCTTTCCCTTGAAATGGGCGGATAATGAGGCTGACAGAATGTTCCCATTTGAATTTGCCTGATGTTGTTCCATGTTTCCCTCCAAACTTGTGAGGCGTGCAGACACACACACACACACACACACACACACACACACACACACATTCACCCTCACAGGAATGCTGACACACACAGACCTAGCTTTATCCTGCCTCCAGTCTTTTATGACTCAGCCCTGGGAATGAAAATAGGGTTTGAGCAGAATAACATGCCCAAGGCTCCTGATGTGCACTCAACAATGAGGCACCCCACTCGGGACAGCCCCTGCCAGGCTGGGAAAGACGCCTCTCCAAGGCCGCAGCCCTGGGCAGGCACTGCACCCTAGTCTACCAGGGCAGGCACGTGCCCTTTGCTGGCCCTCCATCCCCTTCCTTCCCTTCTTTCTCTGCAGAGTATTCTCCTCTGGGACCACTGTCCTGAGAATAACTTCGGAGAAACCTCTGGAAGAGGGCTGTGAAGTACAAAAAGGCATTTCTGCCTTAGAGGGAGGGAGAGAGGGACCCCCGTTTTCCCTACCCCACTCTTCTCTCCCCAGACTCCGGATGTCTCTGAGCTCAGAGTCAGAGAGGCTGAATGCAGAACAAGCTTCTTTTTCCCCCACCCTACCCTATACCCCACAATCTCCATTCCAGTCAAGCGAGTGACCCCACTGTCAGCCCTAAATGACCTTCTCTTTTTGCATTATGGGACAGTCAGGTATTCAACACCTTCTCTTAGTCACCAGAGCCTCATTCAAACCTCACAACAGCACAGTTAAAGGTCTTTTTCATCTGGGCCTTTGAGGGCCTAAGGCACTTGCCGGCAATCACACACAGCCAGGGAGGTGATAGGCTGGCCACGTCCTGGAAGGGAGGGGGCCGCACTTGTCTTGGCTCCGGATCCTAGCTGAGCTGCTCCTATGTGGCTTCCAGTTCCCTTATATGCTCCCCCAAATCTCAGACCCAGAAACCCCTTTACTTCCAACACAGACAACCGACACAGGCTGCCTTTCTGGAAATGAGTCTCGCTTACAAAAAAGACATCGTTGCTCAGGTCCTCATAGTTTGGGGGTAGGAACATTCCATTCGAGGAGAGGACACATCCTCCAGTTCTGCTTCACCACTTGTAACAGCAGCTCTGATCTTGGCCAACCACGTGGGGCCTCCGTGTTCCCTTTTGTAGGTTAGGGAAGGGGGGTGTTGAAGATTCTGGCGCTGCCCTTGAGCTGGCTACTGTGGAGATCAAAGGAGATTTGGTCTGTGGAAGGCTCCCCATGGGGGAAAGGGGGAAGGGGCGGATGGAGTCGATTCCTTTCCCAGCCTTCACCCGTTTAATGGTGTTTCTTTCGCTTGGCAGAGGTCGCCAAAGGCGACACACCAGCGGCCAGCTCCCGGCCAAGCCCAGTGTGTCTGCAGGAACCAGACCCTTCACCCTTCACCTGGCTTGGGACTCGGAGCTGCAGGAAGATCTTTCTAGTTCAGCGTAGACTCAACGCCAGGGCGCCGCCTAGAGGTCAGCCGCGGCCTCAGCGTCACCCGCCAACGACCATAGAGCTACTCCAGCCTCGGTCAGAAATTGGGGGGGTGGGAGGGGGCGGGGAGAGGGGGAATTCAGCTCGTCGACTCTCACGGATGCGGCTTCTGGCACCTCTGACTTCTCTGAGACACCCCCCGCCCCAGCCCCCACCAAGGAACCCTAAGAAGGGATCAGAAAGGCCCAGAAATATTTATTCTTGTGACTCTCACGAGTGTCAATTTCCGTTTCTTTGAGGATCCTGTGTTTTGCACTCTGTGTCTATATTGCCTCCTCTCACCATCCAAATTGTCCAGCCCCCTCCAATTATGCTAAACTCTGCTTTATCTTCACCGAGGGAGTAGGGAACCGTTACCCCGAAATCTGACAGCGTCGTTATCTACATTTTCAATTCTCTGAATAATTTGAAGATCGAGGTGCTTTGGGAAAAGCAGTCAGAAAACTTCTGAGGGTGAAAAAAGCAACCACATTGTCTCAGTGGCCTTTACTCGCTGAGTGGCCATAGCTCCACTAGTGAATGAACGAGACGGGAGGGTGCTTGTGGGCACGAGCGCCCCTATCGGTGGCTGTCTGTGCTGACCATTTGAAAGTTGACTCCTTGGGAATGAGAAGGCTGGCTGACGCCTCTGGGAATGGGTTTGAGCTGTTGTTCCACGGCAGGCAGAGAGTTTCCTTTCTAAAACTGGGATCCATGGCCGGGGTCCTGAGAATGGGGGTAGGGGAAAGCCACAGAGCCCCTGAAAAGTGTATGCAAAACTTATATGTCATTCGAAGGCCGTGGCCTCTTCAAATTGTCTAGAGTTTAAGAGTAAAATAGTTCAATCCCCTTTCCTTGGCCCAGGGAACCACTGACCTGCCCCCCCCCCACACACACTGCAGGCCCCTGGGGTGGGTCGGGGCCTGGGTAATAACAGTCTTGAATGGTGTGGAAACCACTGGTCCCTCAGTTCTGCCCTCTGCCCGTCACTAACGGTCCCCAGAGGCCAATCCTGAGAGGAGGGGTGCCTGCCAGTGGCTGCCATCACAGTATTTTTAATAAAAATATAGCATGATAAAGTGCAAAGTGAGGGAGTTCGGGTAAATAATGAGGGGGGAGCTGCAGGGGCCTCCCAGCGCATATCCTAGATCAGTGATGGCGAACCTTTTGAGCTCAGCGTGTCAGCATTTTGAAAAACCCTAACTTAACTCTGGTGCCGTGTCACATATGGAAATTTTTTGATCTTTGCAACCATAGTAAAACAAAAATTTATATTTTTGATATTTATTTTATATATTTAAATGCCATTTAACAAAGAAAAATCAACCAAAAAAATGAGTTCGCGTGTCACCTCTGACACGCGTGTCGTAGGTTCGCCATCACTGGCCTAGACTATGAGGGTTGGGATGGAAACAAGCTACTTCTTGTCCTCCAGCTGTTAACTGGCTCCCCTCTTCCTCCTTCTTGGTGCAAGGAAGGGGCCAGTGGTCCCCCTGACCCCTTGCAGCAGAGTGGGACTGCCTACATCAGAAGTAGCCTTTCAGAAAATTCAGGAACTGTAGACTGCAGCCTAGTATTTTTCTGCCCATTCCACTTTTTAACCATTGAGAAAGAAATCCCCACAGTTCTCAGTTCTTGGGCACCTGTTTGTTGTGTGGGGTGGGGGTGGTGGTGGTGGTGGTGGTGGTGGTGAGGAAGGCACCCTCAGGGCACCAAATCCCCACCTGAGTCTGCAGCTGGGTCCTACTCTTGTACCCAAGCCCGACCTGAGCCTGAGCTCATCTCAGCTCCCCGGTGCCTCTTAGACCTGACCCGTTGGCATTTCGCGGGTGAATAACTGTGAGATGTGCTCAAATTCCTTCGCTCTGCCACCCAGCAGCGCACCTAACCAGGCCCCTCAGCAGACCAAGTGAAGGACACCACTAACTTTGCTCCCAGTTATCCGGGACCCAGGACGCACAGCGGTTTTTCCTAGTTTGGGGTTAGGATGGCCTAATAGCGATTCCAAATGCGGATTCCACAAAGTTTTATAAAAGCCACACCAGAGTAGAGAAGAGCGATGGCGCTCTGGAGAAGGCCCTGGACATGCAGGTGGCGGTGGCTGTTGTTTGATCTTGAGGCTTTTGAAGAGCCGGAGAGGAGACGGAGGAGACTGCGGAGGGAGCTCCGCACAGGCTGGTTTGGACACGACTCAGCGCTGGCCGTCACTCCACTTCCCCGAGACCAGACCCTCGGGTGGGTTTCCTCCAGCAGCCCCTGCCCACTCAGGCCCCGACCCCTCTCCTCTTCTCGCAAGTACCTGGCAACACACGGGGCGAGGCCTGGCCGCTGGAGACGGAAAGAGAAAAACAAAAAACCCGCTTTCAGCGGACAGATGCAAAGAACGGCGGTCCAGGGCATGGTTGGCAGAGCCCGGGCTTTCGCCTAGAAGGGCCAGGCGCCTAGCGGCGTGGGTGAAGATCCGGGGGTCCCATTCGGGCCGGGGAGCCAACGCAGTGACGTGCGCGGGGCCCGGGACTGTCGCGCGGGCGGTGCGTCCCGTCCGGGCCCGGCCTCGGCCTGGTGGCCGCCCGATGGCGGGGACAGGGCAGCGCGGCGGCTCCTGCGCGCAGGGCGCGCCTGGCAAAGCCCAGGGACCGGCTGCCGCTCTCGATGCAATGTCTGCTGCCGCGGGAAAAAGGGGGGGACCCAGGCGGGGGATTGTGCGGCTCGTAAATTTGCTCCCCCTGCCTTGTAACCCGCCCCCGGCCGTCTGTCTTTTCAGGACGCGAGGGGATGTAAACCGTTTGAAGTTCATCAACACGGTGAAGTTTTATTGTATTTCCGGTCCCCAAGATTTATACCCGGGAGGGGGAGCGGGCGGCCAGGCAGACTTCTTCGCTCCCTGGGACTTCCCCGCCGGACAGACACGTGGCCGCTCGGACACTCACCTCCCGGGCGAGGGCGGGAGGGAGCCGGGCGGGACGGGACTCGAGCGCTCGCATCCGCCGCACCTTCCCGCAGCCGCTCCGGTCCAGCGCCGCCGCCGCCGCCGCCCAGGTAAGTCCGCCGCCGCGGGGCCAGCTCGGCCGCCGGCCGCGTGTGGAGAGTGTGCGGGAGCACCTGTGAGGACGCGGGTGTCTGGAGAGGCAGAGGTGGCGGTAGCGGGCATCGGTGGGGGCCTGGAAGCCAAGGGCCCAGGCTGAAGGTCGGGAAGAAAGAAGCAAGTCTGTTCTCCGAGTTCGCAGCCTCCCTCCCGGTTTCATTTGTGAATTCGGAATAGATTGTCTTACCTGGGGCAGCTCCGCCTCTGCGGGGCCCGGGGCCCTGGGACCTTCCGGCAGCGTGACTTCCCAGCGACTGTTCAGGTCAGCAGCCGGCCTTCCCTTCCAGTCGGTTCCGTTCCTCCGGCTGCTCCCTAGTCTTCCTGATAACTTTCTCGCACTCTCGCCCACCGTCACTTCTCAGCACTCCTCTCCACTCTCCTGTCTGTGTCCCAGCCTGGAAACTGGGGTTTGGTGTCCGGCTTGAGGATTTGACTTCTCAGGGCTATCCTGGACGACCCTGGAATATAGCCTCACCTTGATAACAGTTTGAAGTTGAGAAGTCTTTTTATCTGTGGAGGCCTCCGGCTGCATACACAGGGGTTGATAAACCACGCAGGAATATCAACCCATCCAGGAGGCCCTGTCCAGGTCTGGGTTTGGGCCCAGGGGCCCTCCGGCCAGGGCTCCTGCAAGACAGCAAAAGTGCCTGGAATCTGAGCGGCCAGGAGAGCGAGCTCCAGAACTTTGGATGTGTTGTTGAATGGCAACTGTGTTCTGTGAGGGAAGAGGTGGAGGAAAATGAATGAAGTTAGCCGGCCAGCCGGTTTGGCCCACAAAATGGCTGCAGGGCCCTGCCCCCCAGTGAGCCCTTGCCCCCCCCCCCCCCCCCAACCTGAACTGGAACTGCTGAGTGAATTAGGTAGTTTCATGTTGTTGGGCCTGGATTTCTGAACACAACGACATTAAACCACCCGACTCACGGCAGTTACTGCTCCTCGCTTAGCTGGAGGAGTAGGGGCGTGGGGAGGGAGGCAGAGTCAGGACTGTGCAAGACAGTGAAGCGGCCTGAGGTCCCTCAACCGGGAGCAGCCAGGGTGTTCCACAGAGAAGAGATCTCTGGAGTTCTAGAGTGTCTTCCCACGTCTGCATTTTTAAAATGTGTGTTGGGAGGGGAAGGAGGAATGGGGAGCACTCCACTCTCCAAAGGGCATATTGCTGAGCTGTTCTGCAGAGCCCAAGGATGGTAGTTGGGGCTTTGAGCTTTCTTCCTTGGGGTCTTGGGCTCCCATCTGCCTTCAGATTTTCCAATAAAAGTTTCCCCAACTTGGCAAATCTAGTTTTCAAGAGACACAGGGAGTCATTGAGGTTTTTGTAACCCCTTGAGAGGCAGGGCTCCAGGCAGCTTTAGGTCCTTGAAGAGGGCTCAGGATCCTTTGCAATGTCAGCCTCTGGGCCTCCAGGATCCTTCCTAGAGCCCCCTAGTGGGACAGCGGTGGGTAAAAAAAAAAAAAGAAAAAAAAAAAAAGTCGTTTCTCAATCCCACAGTTGGCTCCTGCCCTACGGAGAGGGCAAGGCTTCCTCATAGACCCTTGGTCTGGGCTGCAGGTTTACCTAGGTCTTCAGGGCCAACTCCTGGGACAGGGGTCTGACTTGTAGGCTAGTAGGGAGCTCAGTCTTGGGCAGACGATAGCGTGACCGGTGATGGAGCAGGGGGTGAGGCAGGGGCAAAGCTGTGATACCCTCTTTGACCCTAGCCCTCTCCAGGCTCCTGGCTCTCTGCCCAGGGAAGGAATAACTAGAAGTGCTGGCGGAAGGCGTGGGACAGTCCGAAGCATAAGCTAACTTTTGTTCCTAAACTGCCCCCCTCCCCCTTGAGGCAGAGGAAATGTAGAAAGGGGCCCAACCGGATGGGGCTCTGGCGGCGCCAGGCTGACTTGGATGGCAAAGGAGGGGGTCTCTGAACAACAGGCCTCTGCTAGGGTGGAGGGGCCCTCGGGAGACCCACCCCCCACCCAGAGGAAAGGCAGTCTTCAACCCGCCGTCCTGGTGAGCAAAGGCCCACTCTACTGCCCCCTGACACTTCCTTGTCCTTGGTCTGGGTGAAGAATGTCTGGAGTATCCTGTTGCCTTACCTTGCTTCTCCCTGGGGCTCTCACAAACCTGCCCAGCCACTCGGAGCCTCACTGTCTTCCATCCCTGGCGTCCCTTGGCCACCCCCTCCCAGGAGCAGTGCTGTAAAAAAGAAAAAAAGGGGGATGTTAGAGAGAAAGGAGGAAATAAAGTCTTTGGAAAGCAGAGAGTTTTACAACAGCCACAGGTTTTATGGAAGCAATTTCGTAATAACCTTCTACCTGCTCAGCTCCTTTCTGTCCCGCCTGCTGCCCACCCCGTTTGGCCTCCTGGATGCTCCCTCCAAAGAGTCAGCCACCCCCCCCCAACCTTCCAGATCCCTGATGGCTGAGACTTGGGAAGAGGAGAGTCCAGGGATCTGCCTGGGCTGCTGACCTCTCAGTCCTTCCTTTCACCTCTGGCGCTTGGGGAGGGAGGCTGAGCAGAAGATTTCGTTGCTTTACAGTGAAGATCCCCACTCGCAGGGCGTGGAAGCGCTGAGGTTTGAACTCCTGTGTGCAGACTCCATGCGATTCATTTTGGAGGCCGTTTTGTGGAAAGGGTGCGGGTTCTGGGGTCCTCGTCTTCTCCCCCTGGAGCAAGTGTTTCCACACCTCCTTTCCCAGAGGGGCCTGGACTCCGATTCTGGGTCAGAAGAAAGATCTCAGGGTGTTTGGGGACAGAGACTCGGGGACTTTGCTGATTTCGTTGTGCCCAGCAGTGCTTTCGTGTGACCTCCACAGCTACTGAGAGCCTTCCCATTAGACTCAGCTCTCTCTGCTGGTCAGAGGCACACTTGTGTGGAACACGCTCATGCACAACTAATGGTGTCTTCATCTGGTGCCCATCACCACCATGAAATAAGGATCACACGACGCACGCTGCCCCCGCAGCTTTGGGAAAGATACGCAGTAAAGGATTTCATGGTCGGACAAAAAAGTCACAAAATTCCATGACCTCCCTGAACCAATCTGAGGCATTTCCTTCACCTTCCAGAGAAATACTTTAGAAGGAAGTTGTAAAAGAATCCAGCTTTAAGCCACATGCATTTGTTGGAGAATACGGACGGTATCTACTTGGCTTGAATATCAAGTCAACAGGCAGATTTTCAATGGCAGCTTCCGAACCCACTAATGTTTTATAGCTACAATTCAAGGACACAAATACTCAAGTTTTTGCCCTTTTCATAGGGGTGTGATGGTTACAAAAACGTCCACAAAAGCTTTTGGATCATAGATCTTCTTATATGAGTAGAGCTGTAAATCTACATCACAGGAGTTATTCACACATCCAATATATACCACTAGATCTTATATACAAATGCTTAAGCAATCAGGTATTATGGTTGGGCAGATTTTACTTATTACATATTCTATATGCAGCATGGAGTTCAGTATATTTGCACACTAGGTTCAATATTGATTTGAAATATACATACAGGATAGACACATCTATTCAAACACAGCATGCATAAATTTCAGCTTAGCTTATCGATTAAAAACAATCTTTCCCCTTTATTATTTTTGTTTTTACTTTCTTCTTCTTCTTCTTTTTTTGGTTTATTTCTCCCTTTGTTTAAAATTTTCTCTTACTGACAAGGACCCTTCTAAAAGCCACCCCTCAAGCTCGGCACTCACCAGCTGGTCCAGGCCAGGCTTGGCCTCTGCGCTCAGGGCCCCAGTGTGAGCAGGGCTGCAGCTTGTCCCTGCCTGCTCTTCCCGGAGCCACCAGACACCAGCCCAGCTGTGTTCAGGCGCGCTCCTGTGCAGGGAATGGCAAGAGGCTTCGAGGGAAAGCAGGGTTTCCCTTCTTTCTCTTTAGGATTGGGGGTGGGGTGGGGTACAGTTTGCTCTCTCCGGACAAGGTGACCCTCACTCAAGGAACCCCTCTATTAGGCATCTTTAGAAACTGGACATCACTGGCTGAAATCCTGTTTGCCTCCCTCGGTCAGGGTAGGTAGCATTGTCTGCGAGAGAAAATAAGGGTTTTGTGGGGGTTTTCTTGGGGGGAGGGAAGGCCTTCTGAACACCCAAACCAGGGGCTCCCCCTCAGCCAACCCTTTGGTCATTTGTCTGAACTGGAGTTGAGTTTCAATTCGGAGCAACAGTGTTTTCTAGAAAGCCCACCTGGGTGGGGCTCATTGCTTGGTTGCACCCAGTCCCCATCTGGAGGGAGATGAGCTGAGGGGCCAGTTCATTCTTTTCCTTTCAGGGTCCCCTCTCTGAGGAGATGGAGACCCTCAAAGCCTGTCATTTTGACATCGTTCCCATTCTCCAGCTTCTGTGTGAGCGCAGGCTGAGTTCTGGGGACAGAAAAGAGGTCTGGGTCCCCTTGGTCAGCACCCAGGAACCACCCAGGGCGAGGGGCAGCTCCTCAAACAGCAGCCCGAAGCCTAGACCCTGCCTGCTGAGACCCTCCACCCTGGTAGGGCACAACCCAGGAGCCCAAACGCTCTTCTTCCTCCAACTTCTTCCCTAAACTCAGTGGCCCTCTGGACTGCTCTCCTGCAAAGGGAGGCAGCAACACAGCCAGAGTGGGAAGGGCCGCCAGGAGGGCTGCAGGCGAGCTCAGCGCCTGCACAGCCTGAGTCTTAAGAACAACCCAGTGCTGTGACTTCCCCATAAATAAATAAAGTCTCTGCCCACAGTCGGAACCTCCTTTGGACCCTAATTTATATGCCACAGAAGCCACGTCCGCAGCCCGCCCTGCTTCAGAGCACGATTATTTACGGCAGGAGAGACTTTTCCCTGAAGAGTATGTTTATTACAGGTAAAGCCAACAGCGGACTCCATGCAGCTGGCAAATTCAGAACAGGTGCTGCGCCTTAACTGTGACTCATCCACTCGGCGCCCAGCTTCCGGCTGGTGAGTCCAGGTAGCTCTCTGGACTTTCCCAAGTGTCCGGCCGCTACTTAGGATTGGCATCGGGGTTTATTTATTTTTTGTCTCCGCCGCACTTGGGTCCCCTGGAGAAAGCAGATCTTCCTGCTGTTTGGTTTCGGATATGCCTGCCTGTCACCCTCAGAGAGCTGGGGTGGGAGAGGAGGGGAGGGGGCGGCTGGGTGCCCGCATTGATCTTTAAAAAATCATTTTGAAATCGCCATAATGTGAAGAAATATGGCGCTTTGCCCTCGTATTTCACATGTAATGACACGAGATGGCTTCATTTGGAGAGAAAAGCTGGCGGGAGGGTGTGTGTGTGTGTGTGTGTGTGTGTGCAGAGGTAATCTGCAGCCTGCTGCACAGCAGAGAGGGCCATGGCCGAAATGATAAAACCTCACAGTAGCATCGCCCCGCTTGTGTTAAAATAATGGGGCTGGGGGCGGCCTATTTTATAAGGGCCCAGAGTTGGAGAATGCCGAGGAAATCAGCCCCAGACTGCCCCTAAACCCAACCGGAGGAGAGGAAGAAGAGGAGGGGGGAGAAGAATCGGGTCTGTCCAGGCCACGGCACCCAGGGCAGAAGCAGGAAGAACAAGCTCAGGGCCCAAAGAATTGATACCAACAAAACGGGGGGGGGGGGGGGGATTTGGAAACTCCAGCAAGAGAAGGCGGAGGGTGGGCGGGAGAGGGAGCCCACGGGCTCTCTGCCTATGCTGGTTGGTGTCTAACACTAGTGTCTGGAGATCTTTCTGGACGACAGTGACCGCTGAGAGGAGTGGGACAGGAGAGCCTTGAAAGGCTCCATCCTCACTGGGCGGAAGGGGAGATAGCTGGACCCCTTCCCACACCTCTGCTTGCTGACACCTTAGGGAAGTTGCCTTAATCCTTTGTCACATCCAGCTCCCCCATCTGGGCAATTTTAAGGGCCTGGCCTGTTATTCAGTGGAGGGAAGGAGAAATGGCTGTGTCCCCCCAACCCCATACTTCCCTCTGGCCAGGGCCAAAGAGAGGTCCCAGAAGTCTAGAGGAGCTTTGGCGAGTTGTATTAAACTCTTTCAGAAGCTCAACTTTCCAGGGCCTGATGGATCCCTTTCAACTCATGCAGGTTCTAAGTTCAGGACAGCTGCATTTCAGGACAGGATTTCAGGGCACTCACCCCCTTATATTCCCCTCTCTCAGCTACTGAGGGTCAGGAGAAAGTCCCAGGGCAGTAACCTTCCTGGAATAGCCGCAGAGAGCCCCCTCCAAAGAGGATCACGTCTCAAAAATCCCCAACTTCTCTCCCCAACCATCTCCAACGAATGGCTGCTGCGCAGTTGTTTCATAAACATCTTGTGACAAGAGGACAGAAGAGAGGAAAGGAGGGCCCGAGGGATGGAGTGAAGGTGTGTGTGTAGGGGGGTGGAGGGGCAGGACCACTTCCTGGTTAATTACGCCCTGGGCCCTTCTGGCTGCTCCCAAGCTGGGGCTCGGTCCCTCCCACTGTCCTGCTCTCCCTCGCTCCCTCCCCGACCCGCCTGGGGAGAGGGCTCCGCCGCCCGCATCCCTCCAGAGGCAGCCGCTGCTTCCCTCCGCCTCCCCTCCGCCCCCGCCCCCCCCCCATGGAGAACTCCACCCCCCTTCTCGCAAAAGGCGGAGGGACCGGGCGGCCGGCTGCTCTCGCTGAGGTTACGTGGCCGCCCGAGCCCTGACGTGATAGCACATTGCATCAGCATAAAACAATCCATCCTCGATATGGAATGCGCTTGCGGACGGATGACAGAGCGCGCGGCCCCCTCGCCGGATTGATTTATGTCGGAGTGACGCTTTATCAGGCAGTCGGAAAAACTTTGACCAATCATTTTGCAAGGAGCGCTGAGCCGGGCCGCTCCACTGTACTTTGTTGGCTGAGAAGTTGAGCAGGGGGTGGGGGTGGGAGGGTGGGGGGCCGGGGGGGTCGTGTCCGAAAGCCCTCACACCGGTCTGGGTGCCACCTCTCCCTGCCCGGGCGCCGCCGCGCGAGCGCTTCCCTTCCCCCTGCTAGCGCCCGGATAATGTCTGAGAATGTCCATTTCTGGGACGCTTAGCAGCTATTATGTCGACTCGATCATAAGTCACGAGAGTGAGGACGCGCCTCCAGCCAAGTTTCCTTCCGGCCAGTACGCGAGCCCGCGGCAGCCGGGCCACGCGGAGCACCTGGAGTTCCCCTCCTGCAGCTTCCAGCCCAAAGCGCCGGTGTTCGGCGCGTCCTGGGCGCCCCTGAGCCCGCACGCGTCCGGGAGCCTGCCGGCCGTCTACCACCCCTACCTCCAGCCCCAGGGCGTCCCGCCGGCCGAGAGCAGGTACCTCCGCACCTGGCTGGAGCCGGCGCCGCGCGGCGAGGCGGCCCCGGGCCCGGGCCCGGCGGTGAAGGCGGAGCCGCTGCTGGGCGCGCCGGGGGAGCTGCTCAAGCCGGGCGCGCCCGAGTACAGTTTGGAAACTTCGGCGGGCAGGGAGGCCGTCCTGTCTAATCAAAGACCCGGCTTCGGGGACAATAAAGTTTGCGAAGGAAGCGAGGACAAAGAGAGGCCGGATCAAAGTAAGTTATAAAAAGTGAGGAAATGCCCAGCCGAAGGCCAGCGAGGGGGAGGGGAGAGGCCATAAACGGCGGACAATGTGAAGGGAGACCGCGGCGCGGGCGGCGGGCGAGCGGGGGAGGAGGGAAGGGGCGGAAGGAAGGAGGGAAGGAAGGAAGGGAGGAAGCCAGCCGGGTGTCCCCGAGGGGAGCCCGAGGCCGCGGGAGGAGCGGCGCGCCCACTGCGCAGAGCCCGGGAGGAAACGGGGGAGCAGGGACAGCTCGCGGCTCCCCGGCCGCCCTGCCCCCACGGTCCCGGAGACCGGCGGGCGGCCGGGGAGAGGCCGGGCCGGCGGCAGCCGCAGGCGGAGGGCCCGGCGGCCGGAGGGAGCGCACGCGGCGGCGGCGGCCCGCGCGGCTGGCAGAGCTCCCCGCGCCGCGCGCCCCGTCAAAGCGGGCCAAGGGGAAGTGGGGGGTGGGGGCTCATTAGGATTTTATTTGCGATGCAACAGCTTGGCGGAGGACTGAGCCGAGCGGATTTCGAGCAGGAGCGGCTCAGGGTCCGCAGCCGGCGCCGGGAGGGGCGGGGAAGCCGGGGCCCGGGCACTGAGCCTCCTCCCCGGTGCGACGGCCCCTCCCCGGGAGCCTGTCCTCGGCCTCCTCCTCCTCTCCTCCGCCTCCTCGCCGGGGTTGCGGCTGCCTTTTCCTCGGCCTCCCGCTGCTCTCCGAGGCCGCCCCCGCCCCAGCCGGCGCTGTCCGCCTGGCGGGGAGTCGGGAATCGCTTCCGAACTTCGGGACCGACCGGCAGAGTGGAGGAGGAGAGATCCCGCAGGGCCCCCGGGGAGCGCAGGGTGGGGGAAGAGAGGCTGACGGAGGGGTGCGGGGCTTTACCCTCTGACGGCAGCTTCTCTTCACCTCCCACTCCCCCCTAAGCACCCCCTCCAGGAACCCGCGTCAGGCCGTTTCCCGGAGGTGCTGCTGCCGGAGGGGGGGGGGGGGCGGTGGTAGGGAGCATCCTATGTTTTAAGGTTGAGAAGAGCAAATTGGTGGGGGGCTCAGCCCCAACCAATAACCCTCAGGCTGGTGGGGCCAAGCCTTCACCCCTTCCTCTTTTTGGAGCGTGGGGGTCAGATGCTCACTCTCTGCTTGCTTTGCCAGATTTCCCACCAACAGAGTGGGGCACAGGCCCTTTGGGGTGTTCCTGCGGCCCCACTCCCCTGAGGTGCCTGTGGGGTCCCACCTGCCAGGTTGAATCACAAGAGCTGGCATTTGGGTCACACCGGCTCTTCCCAAACCCTCCCTGCTCACACCCAAATAGAGCCCCCACCCCCAGCCCCCCAAACTCTGCCTGGAAAACCCATTATTGCAAGGCAGCAGTTTGGTTAGGATCAATTATTAACATTTTTTCCTCTTTCATATTTAATGTGAATGTAGGTCCTATCACAGGCAATCACATTAAGGAAATAGCGCTGCAAATTGGTAAGACATGGTACTTAGTGCAGGATGGACCAGATTATTTAAAAAAAATATTTAGTGCTTTTTTTTTTTATTTGGGGAGAAGGAATCTAGTAGAGGGCAGCTATTATTTCTAATAGTTCCGCTTTATTTGGCAACTTTTCTGAATTCCAGGATAGGGAGAGAGACCAGAAGGAGAAGAGAAGCCTGTAAATATTTCTACCCGCCCCCCCCCCTCCATTACCCTTTCCTCTGTTCCCCTTTACCACAAGGAGCCAGTTGGAGGGAAGTGTGCTGTGCAGAGCTCTCTGTTACCCCGCCTTCTCCCTGGCTCCCCACCTTGGGACTGGAGCAATCTTGCTTCCCAATTTCCCTGAACTTGCTTTCGCCAAACTGCGAGCTGAGCAGGAGCGGAAAAGGAGAGACTATTGCAACCATAAGTTATCTGGGAGCCCCTGGCGCTCCCTTGTCCACAGACTGGAGTTGATAAATGGTTGCAATTGGGCTGCTGGTGAATTGGAGTGTGCTGGATGTTCGCATCTCTGAGTGCGGACACATATTTGTGTGTGGGGGTGTGTGTATGGGGGGGGTATCTACATGGACATTATATGCCTGCTACCATGTGGCCAAGAGACTAGAGCTTGGGACTAAGGCACGGTGCACTGGGCCTGGGCTGGCGGGCCAAGAGGTCTCTTGTCTGTGGCTGAAGCTGCTCTGCCCCAGTCCAACCCTCTCTCACCTCCCAGCCCTAGAGCGAGGACCTTCAGATCAGCCACCCCTAGTTAGACCGGTAGTGCGGGGTGGGGGGGAGGCCACCATGCTGGGCTCTGACTTGAGTCCTTACCTGTTTGGACCCAAGTGTAGAAAGAGATAAAAAGAAGACCTGAGGTGGGCAAAGCTTTGGCAATGCTGGGCAGCCTGGCAGCTGGTTGGCTCCCTCCTGTCCAAATCACTCCGCCCAGAGATGTCCATCGCAACTCCCGGCCCATGGCTGGGCCCCTGTCTGGGAACTTGAAGGCCCAGGTGCCCCTTTCTCCAATGCCAGGTGGGGAGTAGGTAGCCTGGGAGGTGCCTTCTTGGAAGGAGAACAGGAGAACCCTTCACCCCCCCCCACAACCATTCCTTTCTTTGATTCTGTCGCTGCTTCTCTTTCAGCCAACCCTTCTGCCAACTGGCTGCACGCTCGCTCTTCCCGGAAAAAGCGCTGTCCCTACACCAAATACCAGACGCTGGAGCTAGAGAAGGAGTTTCTGTTCAATATGTACCTCACCAGGGACCGTAGGCACGAAGTGGCCAGACTCCTCAATCTGAGTGAGAGACAAGTCAAAATCTGGTTTCAGAACCGGCGGATGAAAATGAAGAAAATGAATAAGGAACAGGGCAAAGAGTAAAGACGCCCCCTCCCCTTCCCACTCCTTCCCCATCTCACGCTTATTTATAAGGTGGCTGCAGAGCCAGTGCTGTCTGGGATGTATTCAAGTGGATGGGGAAGGGAGTCTTTCCCTTCCAAGTCCTTTCCTGCGACCTAGAGCCTCTCTCCTTTCTTCCGCTCTCACCAGCCCTCTTCTCCCTAGACCTCAGGAGAAAGTTTTGTTAATTTAGAAGGTAGACGTAGTTGGTTCTTAAGAAGGGAATGGGCCACAAGGAAAGAGAGACCCTAGTTGAACCCCTAGCAACCTGCACCCCCCCCCCCAGTTTTTCTGGGAAGCCCCAGCCCCTCACTTCCAGCCTGCCTATCCCAGTGCCACCCAGGGACACTCCAGCTGCACACAGCCCAGCAGATGCCCTCATACATGAAGCCTGGGGCCCACAGTAGTGACAGGGAGAGCTCACAGCCAACACTCAAATGCAGTAGCCTCCCTAGTGCAGACCATCGCACGGGCAAATCTATTAGAACAGCCATTCTACCCCTGATGCAAAGACAGGGCAAGATGTCTAGAGACACACTCCTGAACGAGGCACTGCAGCCCATGAGGCTGAATGTCACCACGCCACCCCCACGGAACCCCCAACAAGGGGGACAAAACTCGGCCCCCAAGCTGGTGGGCTGGAGGGGAGAAGGAAAGGCAGCGTCGTCTTAGGAGGGTATCTTAGGTTTTCTGAAGGCATTCCACACATTTTGTTGCAGGAAATGTTTAATTCTGCATGTTGTTTTCCTCTCCTTCCAACAAAAGGAGGTCAGATCGTGGGTCGTAAGCCTTGCCAATGTTGTCCACCCGTTCATCCGTGTCCCGCTTGTCTGCGACTGTAGCCCCTCTTGCTCGCCACCGGCCCTGCATCCTTCCGCATCCCCCCAGCTCCGAAATCAACTCTGGTTGGCCAAATCCACCTTGCACCAGCGAGTCAAGCCGCCCCTGGCGGGAAACCCTCCCCTCCATCCCTCTAGGTCCGCCCTGCCTTAGGCAGGAAAGCCAGGGCGGAGAGTTCCGTGGAGAATTGATTGAGAATCGATTCCTGAACGCCCTTCCTGGACAAGTTGTGGCGGACAAGGAGGGGCAAAGGCTCCCGAGCGCGCGCGGGCCGGGGCGCATTCCTCCCCATGCTGCCCAGGTCCCGACCCACTCGGAGGAGGAGCCGCGGGAACTGGCGGCTGCCGCCCTGGCGCAGAAAGAGACAGGCCCGGGCGCCGATCTGCGATCAGCTCCGGGCCTGGATGGCGACCTGCGCGGCTGCTTCCCGCACGCTTCTGGGGATCAGTCCCGCGTGCAAAGGAAAAGGCGGAAAGGCACCTAAGCTTCCGGCCCAAGCTGCCTCTCGGCTTCCCGGCCGCCCCCTGCTGCCCCACCTCGCCAGTCCCTTTCAATTCCATGGACTCTTGCTTCTGCGCCTCCCGCCCTGGCAAGGGGACATTCCAGTAGAACTTCTTTTGCTTCGTCAGTGGCTGTGAAATTGTGCTGTGTTTTGTGATTTCTTTGGGGGTGATTGTCTCGCCTGTTTTCAGTTGTCTCTTACATGGGAGGGTGGTGGGTGGGAGTGGGGAGGGTCGGGGGCCTAGAGCTCTGATTGTTTTGGAAGAAAAAAAAAGAAAAAAAGAACAAAAAATATATATCGCTCTAGAAAAATAAACCTCCTCTTGTGTCTTATTCCTTGCTGGCTCTTCTCACCTGGCCAGGAGGAGAGGCTCTAGTTCCTCTTGGGTGGCGTGGTAAGCAGGAAGTTTAGACCCTGCAGAGCTGGCTCCTGGGGGAGCTGAGAGCTGGTGGGCACCCCAGGTCCCAAGACCACGGCTTCTATTGAGCAAGAGCCTCCCACAGGAGAGCTGGGAGATGGGAGGGGAGGAAAGGGCCTGGTCTCGATTCTTCCAAAGGTGTACCAGGGGCTCCCACAAACCCCAGAGCCAGCGGGAGGACAAGGCCGGGTTGTGGCTCCTGGAAGCAGCTTCGAGCTCAGCTGCCTGAGGTCACCGTGGTTTGGTCACTTTAAAATCTCCTGCCAGCGAGGAGGCAGTAGCTTCCTTCTGCTGTTCCCTGCAGCCGGGGCGACTGGTTAGGCGGAGCCCTCCTTTCTAACATTCACGAGGATCAAACCCCTTAGGGCTCTCGGTTTCCTCCCGGAATGGGAGCCAAAGGTAGCTCCCTTGGTACAAAGCGGGTGGAGGTTGGTGGTGGTGGGGCCACCTGGGCAGGCAGCTCCAACCGCCCGGAGAGAGGATTGAATGGGGAACAGAACTGTCTCGGGAGAGAAAAACAATTCCCTTTCCAATCAGACCCCAGAAGTAAGTTCTGTTGGGAGAGGCACCTTTCTGCCCCCCTCAGCCGGTGGTGTCCTCCCCCCGCCCCAGAGCCCCTTTGAAGGCTGCTGTTCCGGGACAGCGCTGCCCTGCGCCTCCAGGCTTTGGGACTCGGCTTGTGCGGGGCTGGCGCTGGGGAACCCGCCTCGCTGGGAGCCCCCCACCTGGCCACGCGCCCGCGGCGGCCTTCCAGGACCCCAGGGCTCGGGTAGAGGTGCGGACAAAGCCTAACCCGAGTGAAAGGATCGGGAGTGAGAAGGCCAGGCCTACCCCTGTCCTGCGAACAAAGGGGTGCGCGAATCGGCAAGCTAGCCGCCGGCAGGAGAAAACGAGGCTCCTGGCCGCGGTGGGGAGGGCCTGGCGCCCGCCTCCTCCAAGGGTTCCATTCGGGTTATACAATGAATCTGGCTTTAGAGCCTGTGTAGACCGGGCTCCCTCCTCCTCCTGGTCTCCCCGGAGCCGGCCGGGGCTGAGGGCGAGCCGAGCAGGCCGGTGCCGCCCAGAGGAAACGCAAGAAGCGAGAGGAGCCTGCGGGGCGGGGGCGAGCGCGCTGGGCGCAGCCGCCAGCGGGGCCTGCCTTCTCCGCGGTGGTGGCTTCTTTACAGACAGACAAAGGCGAGGATGCGGAGGCCGGGAAGCCGGAGATGGGGAAAGCTGTTGCCATAAAAGAAAGCGAGAGATTCGGAGAGGAAGAGCGCGCAGAGTGCCAGACAGAGAAGCCGGGAGAGGAATTCAGTGCCGTGCGCGCAGCCATAAAAGAATATGACCGCTATAAAAGTTTATAGCGTATAAATTTCTGAAGGTTAAGAAACTAAGCAGCAGCAAAGCAAACAGTGAGGGGACACTTTCCGGAGCTGAGAGAGCCGCAGCTGGGCCTGGGCTCCGGGCCTGGCGGGGGTGGGGGGATGGGTGGGGGGACATGGGGGGACCAGCTCCCAAGCCCCCACCTTCCCCGCCCAGTACCGGGTTTGAGGTTTCCGGTGCCCCAAGGGGCAAAGAGGAGAGAAGAGGGAAGGGAGAGAGAAAAACACTTTGTTGTCACCAGCGCTTTAGAGAACGCAATTGGAACTCTTGTCTTTGTTCTTCTCTGCCTCCCCCCCCCCCCAGAATCGGACGTCATAAAGAAGCCCCCCGCCCCCTGCGCGTACACACACACACACACACACAGACGTCCGGCGGGGCCAGACGTCTGGGCGCGGGCAGCCTCTGGATCCTTTTACAGTCCCATTCCCCCCTCTCAGGCCTCCTCTCCCCCCACAAAAAGCTCAATTGTTTCTCCTCAGAATTTGAAACAATGGGTTGGGTTTGGAAAGTGCTCGAGCCCCCCGTTTACGGGCTCTAAGCGGCTCACTGCTCGGCGGTCTCCCCCAGAATTTCGGGTCTTGGAATCGGGGACTGGTGTCAGCCGTGGCTTTTATTTTTTTCTCCCCCACCCCCTCACCCTGTTTTTCGGTTTGTTTGTTTTCAGCTTATCTGCACAATTCGATGAACCCTTTCCTGATTTCCGGCGCCCTTTCCCTCCCGCCTTTCTGACCAGAACGAAAGTTTCTCCTCGCTTCTCGCCTGGGTGGCTGGCTCTCGGAGAAACCGGCCGAGCGGGCGGCGACGGCGCCTTTTCTCAGGGTGGCCGCTAGATGGCAGCCTTGCTCCATGCGAAAATCCCCGGTGCGGCGGCTGCGGGCGCTGGTGGCTGCACTTCGCACCTTTGGTGGGCCCTGAATCTACGAACTGAGCGCTGCGAAAAGTCATGAATAATTTGTGCGTAATAAAAATATAGGGTTCATTATGGCCGTTTCCCCCATTTTATAGATTTCAGATGTATTGATGTTGCCCCCCCCCCCAAATAGTCAATTTTACGCACTTCCCCCAGGAGGAGGGCTCAGCGCTTCTCATCCCCCCAGTTTCTGTGTTCTGTGGGGGCAACAAACGCAAATAGAACGGGGAATAGTAATAATAGTAATAATAATAATAATAATAGGAATAATGGGTCTAAATAAAAGAGGAGAATTGGTTCGGGGAAAAAGCGTTTTCCGGGGAGGGGAGCAACAGGAATGTCTGCGGATGCGGGTGAGCAAGTCAGGTGAGAGGGGGGAGCCGGCAGAAGAAGGTCAGATGGAGAGGAAGCTGCGGGAAATCTGCCGCCAGATCCGCAGGAGAGGGACCTGGGTGAGCTAGCCCGGGAGGTGGGGGGTAGGGGATGGGGGGGACAGTTTTTTGGGGGGTAAATGGATTCGTGGCTCTGGTGGGATTGGAGGTGCCCACAGCCGGCGAGGTGGGCTCCGCATGGACTGAGGCTCCAAAAGCCTTTGTAAGTGTGGGGGTCTGGGCTGGGCGCCGGGCTAACCCGGGAGCGGGGCAGGGGTTCCCCGGAACGGCGAGGTGCGGAAGGCTGCCTTGTTTCGCCCGGAAAACACGCGCGTTTTCCAGAAGCGCGTGGGGCGGCGCGGAGCGGCAGGGAGCGGCAGCTCGCTTTCCCCCGGGGTCCGCGGTCCCCAGGTGCGAGCTCGGGCTCGGGCTCGGGGCGCAAACGTGGGGGGCGCGGGTCCTTTCGCGGTTTAGCAGCTGGAGGCCCGGGCTCCGGGTGCTGCTCACCCTGAGCCCCGCGCACTGTCTGCCCTTAGACTCTCCGCTTCCAAATCTCCTGTTTCCTCCGGACCCAGCCCGACCCGCGCCCCTCACTGGGACCAACCTGCGCGAGAACTAGCCCCCCTCCCCCCTTAGGCCGAGCCCCCTCCCCCCCCAGGAGCGCGTGCGAAGAGGCGAGCGGACTTTCTCAACTTGAGTTTCTCTAATAAATCTGCGCTCCGTTGGGTGTTTATAAATTATCTCCTCGCTCTTTCTTGTTGCGTTTTTTTCCTTCTTATAACAGAAACATTTTCCTTCCATCAGGAATTTCTGGCACGGTGTAGGGATGATTTAGAACAAGTCATTGAATTGCTACCTCACCGGTGAGTCCTCAAATCGTGACCATAAAATCCCCCCCGCATTTGATAAAAATGTTGCTTCGGCAACAACTTAACTCTCTCTCGCTTCCACTGCCTCACCTCCCTCTTCGTCTGGCGTTTGAAGATTCAACACTTTCCCTTCCCTTTCTCCTGTCTCGCTCCCTGGTAGCCCCTCTCCCATTCTCCAGATTCACCTGTGAAGGGCCAGTGGCCCCCCCATGGTCACTTCCCCTTAGGAAGGCGATGGTTTGATTTTTACAAAGGTTGGGGTGACCCGGATCCCCGGAACACACAGCAAGCCACGCTCCTAAATAAACAAGGAATGGAATGTATTTGTAAAACCTCCACTTTTCTTGCTAGAAAATGTCTCTCCTCTCTCCCCCTTCCTTCCTTCCTTCTTCCCTTCCCTTGGCCAGGGAGCCCCTCCAGGAGCCCATTGGTTCAGACCCTCAGACCAGGGCCTTCTGAAGCCTAAGCCGCCACCACCAGGCCTGGCAGGCCAGGAAAGGCCACCCGCTTAAGGGTATGGCACCAAGTCAGTTCGGATCTGCAGTCCATATTTCAGGCCTCAGGTCCTCAGGTTGGAAGGAAAGCCAAGCCCAACTAAAGGCTCCCCAAGGAGGGGAGGAGAGAAAACGGGGGACTCGGTGGCCTTGCCGCGTCGAAATCCCCTCTACTCCAAGGTCAGTTTAGGCAGTGACAGTGGCTCACAGGATGCTGAAAGCTAAAAGGTGCCCCCTTCATACACACCCTCCCCTCGCAGCCAAGGCCCAGGGCTGAGGAGGGCACAGGGCAGTGGCATCAAGGCCTGGTGCCAGGGCCTGGTGCCCAGCGGTGGCTCCAGTGCCCTTTGCTCCCTGTGATGTGCTGATAGGCTTGGGGTGCCCTCTCCCCCAAGCATGCTGGGAAGGTCGGGAGGCCACTGGGCTTGGTTCCTGGGCCCCCAGGCCTGCGTGCAGGAGTGCGACAACCCAAGTGGGTGCCATCCTGCTGGTGGCATCAGGCTCCTCTCCCATCACACGAGCTCGGCCCCCCAAAGCCCTGACTGGGCCCAAGCGCCTTCTACCAGATACCTCATCCCCATTCCAGACCCCCCACACACACCAGGCTGTGAAAAAACTGGAATCCTCCGTTTTAGGGGGAACTTTGCTTGGTGCCCATTAACCAGAAAGTTTCTTCTCCCTGTCCCGGTCCCTCCTCACACCCTCCCAGACCCCTTCTCCAAAGAAAAGCCGGCTTGTTTATTGAATAGGGAAACGCTGGTGAGTGGTCTGGGGGTGGCAGAGGGGGTGGTGGTCTGGGGGCTCCAGAGGGGGGGTGGGGACAGGTGCTCTGCACAGCTGAAGGAGGCAAAAACTCGCGGAAAAGCCACCGTTTGCACCGAAAAAAACCCCAACCCATAATCGTTTTCATTTTGGCTTTGCCACCCCCACCGACTGCAGCCGTGCAGCGGGGGCGATCGAAGCTGCAGTTTTATAGCTGTAGAGGAAAGAACTCGTAAAATGCTAACAGCTTTTATGCGCTGCGGCATAAACAACAACAGACTCCGGCTTTATTGCGTTTTATAGTTTGTTAAAGAGTTTACAGGCGTTTTTTCTGGGGGGGGGGCTGGCTACCCAGCCAATTCCCTTCACACGACAGTTAAACCTTTATCAATAATAAGGAAATTGATTATTAAAGCTTTAAATATGACTACCTCGTTTGTTGGAAAATATGTTTAGGAGGGGAAGCTGTATGATTTGATAACTTGTATTAAAATACCAATTACATTTATCGGACCTTTTAAAACTCAGCGCAATTAAGCCGTGTTCTTTTACATTTTTCCGAAGCGACCCTGACATTTAAAAAGACTTCAACTGCCTCGTTAAAAATCACGAAATTAACAGCGTTGCCTGCGTCTGGCGCTGGGTCTCTGTGTGCGCGTGGTTGTGGGTGTGTGTTTTTTTTTTCGTGACTCCCCCACATCAGTCTTTGGGGGTGGTCTGCGAAGGTATTTGATTTGTTGTGAGGGAAGAGATATCTCATTAATGTAGGTAGTTAAACAGATTTAATCCGTATTCATTCTCTCTCCCCCCTTCTCCCTCTCCCCCTCTCTCTACCCCCCCTTCTCTCTGGCTGTTTTTTTTTTTCTTCCCCTCCTCCCCCCCCCCCCTCGCGCTCTCCTCACTCCCTGGCGCTCGCTCGCTCTAGCTCTCTCGCTCGCTCGCTCTCTCGCGCTCTCACCCTCGTTCTGCGTTCTGTCCGGGAGGAGTACGGAGAAGCCAATAGGATGCGGGGTCTCTAATGGATGCAAATGATCATGAAAAGACAGTGCAAAATATGAAACAACTCATTTGCAGGGAAGTAAATCACCGAAAACTGTTTATGAACTGGCATCCTTTCTTCGAAATGTAAAGCGAGGACCTCTTGAAGTGGCGGTAGATTTTTGTTTGGGGGGTGGGGGGTGGGGGGAGGGCGCGCGAGCCGGCTGCCATGCGAGCTTAGACTTTTGGAGGCTCCGCGGTCCTTCCCTATTCCTGGAAATCGCAAAAAGTGCGGCGGCTCCGAGCTCCCCTTCGCCTTTTTTCTTTCTTTTCCTTTTCCCCCTCCTCCCTTCCCCTCTCCTCTCCTGGCGAGGGTGGCTGGGAGCCGGCGAATCCGCGTTTTTTTTCTCTCTCTCCCTCCCTCTCCCCCTCCCCACCCCCTCCCCACCAGCCCCCAACTACAGCCGCCGCCGCCGCCGCCGCCTCAAAATTCAATAAAATGAGCTCTTATTTCGTCAACTCACTGTTCTCCAAATACAAAACGGGGGAGTCCCTGCGCCCCAATTACTATGACTGCGGCTTCGCCCAGGACCTGGGCGGCCGGCCCACCGTGGTGTACGGCCCCAGCGGCGGCGGCAGCTTCCAGCACCCGTCGCAGATCCAGGAGTTCTACCACGGGCCGTCGTCGCTGTCCACCGCGCCCTACCAGCAGAACCCGTGCGCCGTGGCGTGCCACGGGGACCCCGGCAACTTCTACGGCTACGACCCGCTGCAGCGCCAGAGCCTGTTCGGCGCGCAGGACCCCGACCTGGTGCAGTACGCGGACTGCAAGCTCGCGGCCGCCAGCGGCCTGGGCGAGGAGGCCGAGGGCTCGGAGCAGAGCCCGTCGCCCACCCAGCTCTTCCCCTGGATGCGCCCGCAAGGTGAGCTCGAGGCCGGGCCGGCGAGGGGGGAGCGCGAGCCCTGAGGGCCCGAGGCCGGGCCGGGGGGCCGGGCAGGCCGGGGCGTCCCCTCCGGCTCCGGGGAGCCGTGCCTGCTCGTTCAGATGGTCTCCCATTTCTTTCCTTCCTTCCTTCCTCTCTCTCTCTCTGTCTTTTTCTCTTCCTTTTTTTTTTTTTTGTTTCCCTTGAAGGAGGGTCGCTAAGAGACATTTCCTGAATCCATAAACCCCTCACCCCGCCTGACTTTTCTTCTTCTCCCCCTGCTTTCCCCCCTTTTACTGTTTTATGGGGGGGGGAGTGGGGAGAGGGTGGTGGGAGTGGGGGCGCTCAACTTTTGCACTTCTCAATTGCTTTATAGTTTAATTGCCCTGAAGAAACTTTTCTTCTGGGGGCTTTTCAAGGTGGGTCCATTCGTCCCCATCCTGGCATTTTTACTCTTATCTCCCCCCCCCCCTTCACATCCTTCCTTCTAAAGTTTATGGCACTTTTAATAGATTTGAACCACCCCCACCTCACTCTCTGCTGCTTGTTACCAGGGGAGGCGGCTCCCCCTTTCTGGCTGCCTTAAATTCTGTGGTGTCTGATGCCCCTCACCCCCCACGCCCCCACCTCCAGCTGACCGCGGCCTCCTCGCGCCCCCTCCCCCGCGCGGGGTAGCAGGTCCCCTGCCCTTACTTATTATGCTGGTCTCCAAGGCTGGTTCACGAATCTTCCAACCTTCCCCGTCTCCGTCCCCTCCCCCACCCTCCCCTTCCCTCCGTCTCGCCCTTTCCCCCCTTCCCAGCAGCCGCCGGACGCAGGCGAGGCCGACAGACCTACAGCCGCTACCAGACCCTGGAGCTGGAGAAGGAGTTCCTATTTAATCCCTATCTGACTCGCAAGCGGCGGATCGAGGTGTCGCACGCGCTGGGACTGACAGAGAGACAGGTCAAAATCTGGTTCCAGAACCGGAGGATGAAGTGGAAAAAGGAAAACAACAAAGACAAGTTCCCCAGCAGCAAATGTGAGCAGGAGGAGCTGGAGAAGCAGAAGCTGGAGCGGGCCCCGGAGGCGGCGGAGGAGGGCGACGCGCAGAAGGCCGACAAGAAGTAGCCTCCAGCTGGGACTGCCAGGGCCGCGGCCGCCCTCCGCCCGCCCGCCCGCCGCCGCCGCCGCCCGTCCGCCCGCCCGCCCGCCCGAGAGCTCCGGCCCCGCGAGCGGCGCCCCGAGCCTGGCCTCCCGCCGCAGCGTCCCCACCGCGCCAGTCCCCGCTAGTGGTAGTATCTCGTAATAGCTTCTGTGTGTGAGCTACCGTGGATGCCCTTCCCTTCCATGGGGGCCGGGGAAGACAGGGATGTGAGCAAGGACTCCCTCGCCCAGCGAGGGGGAGCGGTTGCTGCTCGGCCGAGCCCCCTCCCCACGCCCCCGTCCCGTGTAAAAAGCCTCCTTGTGCAATGGCCCCCTTTCCCTGTAATGACCGAGGTACCGATTTCTGCTAAGTTCTCCCAACAACATGAAACTGCCTATTCACGCCGTAATTCTTTCTGTCTCCCCTCCCTCTCTCTCTTTCTCTCTTTCTCTCTCTCTCTTTGACCCCCCCCTTCCTCATTTCCTCCTCCCACCCCCTCTGTCCCCGCTGCCCTACCTAGCTCGCTGGCTTTCTCTCTTGCTTCTCTTTCCTCCCGCCCCCTTCTTTGATTTGACAATTTCGTCTTAAGTGTTTCTCAAAAGAGGTTACTTTAGTTAGCATGCGCGCTGTGGGCAATTGTTAAAAGTGTTCTTAGGTTTACTGTGAAGAGAATGTATCCTGTATCCGTGAATTGCTTTATTGGGGAGGGAGGGAGGGCTAATTATATATTTTGTTGTTCCTCTATACTTTGTTCTGTTGTCTGCGCCTGAAAAGGGCGGAAGAGTTACAATAAAGTTTACAAGCAAGAACCCGAGACTGGCCGGGCCCCGCTGCTCATTTGCTCCAGGCGCCTTGCAGAGCTGGGGGGGGCGGGGGGATGGTGGGGGGAGCTGGCCACCGGGCTCCAGCGCCCGCCAGGCCTGGACGCGCGGAGGAGGGGGCGGGGGCTGGAGGCAGGTGGTGCGAGTCCCTCGACCCAGGGGCGCAGGGGGTGAGGGAGGCGGCTGCTGCGTGATTGGAGGAGAGAGGAACGAGGGAGGGGAGCCCAGAGAAACCCCCACCCTTTGCGTTCCGAGACTGCGTGGCCCTGGAGACCCCAGCCCTGGCCGCGCAGGAGAGATGCGCCGGGGCTGGTGGCTGTCTCCTCACCACCTTCTCTCCTTTGTTTCTGGGTGCCCTCTGTGTGTGTGTGTGTGTGTGTGTGTGTGTGTGTGTGTGCAGGGGAGGGGGCGGAGGTGGAGTGCAGGGCTACTGAACAAGCTTCTATATTTTTATTTTTCCTGGAGTCTGATGGGGGGGACGGGAGGAGAGGCGAGAGGCTCGTGCCTGCCTCTCCCTCTGGGACGTGGCCACCGAGGCCCAGCTCCGAAGTCTTGGCTCGCCGCCTTCCTTCCTTCGCTCCCTCCGCTTCTCCGGCAGCCGGGCAGCCGCTCGACGGAGGCGTCCGCCTCCCGGAACCAGAAGAGCAGTGCCCCGGCCGCCCTGCCCCCTTCCTTTCTCTTCCCACCCACCCACGCCCCTTCCTTTAAAAAAACAACAACACATTTTTAAATTTTCAAACCTTTTTTTTTAAGCCACCAGAAAACGCAGCATCCAACACCCGTGGGCTGGATCCGGCGCCTCAAGGAACACCCACGAAGCCTGGCTCCTTCCCTGCCCGGTGCCCGGGGCGCCCAGAGAGCCTACGCCAGGCCCCCCGCGCTCCTCACTCAGGACCGGGCTGAGCCCCCCAAAGGCCCAGCCAGGCCGACCTGGGCCGGATTAATAAAGGCCTGACTGGCCCACACCCACCCGCCCGTGGCGTGCAATCCCTGCGTTTGTTTCTCGCCGGTGGCGGCCTGGGAAGGAAGGGTGGGGGTGGGGGGGCGCCGACTCGGGTGGCTCCCAGCTTATTTATTTCCCGGCCTCTCCATGCCGTTCTCCCCACGTCTCGCCGGCCAGCGGCCTCCGGCCCACGGGGGTCGACAGCGGCCCTGGAGCCCCCAGCCCCAACCCACAGAGCTTGTCTCCCCCATGCATTATTGATCATATTGTATAAATCCAACGCCACACAATTTTTTCCACATTACCGGAGCCGTGGGGAGGCGGCCCGGCCATTGGCGGAGGGGACGTCACGTGGGCGGGGTCACGTGGCCCGGGGAGGAAAAAGGGGGTCCTTTTTGGTGTAAATCTGGACTCTAATTCTGTAATATATCAAGGAATCTCGTAAAACCGACACTAAAACGTCCCTGCCTACAAATCATCCGGCCAAATTATGAGTTCATTGTATTATGCGAACGCTTTATTTTCTAAATATCCAGCCGCAAGTTCGGTTTTCGCCACCGGAGCCTTCCCCGAACAAACTTCTTGCGCGTTTGCTTCCAACCCCCCGCGCCCGGGCTATGGAGCGGGGTCGGGCGCCTCCTTTGCCGCCTCGGTGCCGGGCTTGTACCCCGGCGGGGGGGGCATGGCGGGCCAGGGTGCCGCCGGCGTCTACGCGGCCGGCTACGGGCTCGAGCCGGGCTCCTTCAACATGCACTGCGCGCCCTTTGAGCAGAGCCTCTCCGGGGTGTGTCCCGGGGACCCCGCCAAGGCGGCGGGCGCCAAGGAGCCGAGGGACGCGGACTTGGCGGCCGAGAGTAACTTCCGGATCTACCCCTGGATGCGCAGCTCAGGTAACGCCACGCACCGAGCCGTCCCGAGCCGCAGGGGCCCCGGCGCCTTCCCCGGAGGGCGCCCCCTGCCCGGCCAAGTGCCCCTTTCCGCGTCCACGGTGCTCCCCCGGCCGGAGGTGGGCCCCGGGGACGCGGCACCCCCCTGGGCCGCGACCCGGCGCGCTGCCGCCACCCCAGGTTTGCTGGGCGCTCTCAGGCTCGCTCTGCTTCCCGGCGGCGCTCTCTCCGCCAACGGCCCAGCGCTCGGATCCCCCAGCTCGCCCCCCACCCTTCCTCTCAGCCTTTTAGCTTTAAATATTTATCAGCCGCGCCCGCAAAGGCCGGGGAAGAGGCCGTTTGTCTTGCGGAGGAAGGCTAGGGTTTGCAGAGAATAGCCATTAGGGTTCTCCCCCCCCCCCTCCCCGCCCCCTTACCCCCGCTGGGGATCTCAGCTCTGGGTGTGTCCCCCAGACTCGGCTTGGATAAGGTCTAGGGGAGGGGGCTGCAGCGATGAGCAATTCTCCCCTCCCCCTTCCTTCCCAGCCAACCCTGCTCCCGCATTATTCCCTTCTGGACAATTAGAGGTGGGCTCTGGAGGCCTGGCGGGAGGAAGGGGTATGAGAGATTAGGATCCAGCCTGGGACACAGAGCCAGAGAGGCAGGTGGAGAGAGGGGGCAGGCTGAGCCTAAGAGAGATGAGGCTCCTGACCCCCCAGTGAACTTGGGAAGGGGGAGGCAGGAGAAGGAGAGGAAGGGGCAGCGGCCTCATGCTGAGTACAACAGGCTTACTCAGGTGCCCTTCTAGGGCCACCCAGCCCCCCTGGAGAACTGGCCGACAAGTTTGCAGGTATTATTCCAGAAGGGTGCTGTCCTCTTGGGGGAGGCACTAGGACTTTATAGAGCCAAATCAAGGGCTCGAAAGTACAGGCCACTAAGCCAGCTGCTGTAGGAACCCCAAGAGACCAGGTGCTCCATGGTTTCCTGACAAGCCTTTCCCAGGCATTCTTCCTAATGCTGTCCCGGACTCAGCGGTCAACCCCAAGGTCCGGAAGGCCCAAGACTTGTGGTCAGAGGCTCCCAATCCAGCCAGGGCTGAGGGCCAGGAGAAGACCAGCTCCTACCCCATCAGTATTGGTGGTCACGGTCCCCATTACCTGCTCCATAATTCAACTGCCTTTCCAGTTGATTTATCAAAGTCCCAATTTTTCTGCTCGTAAACATTTCAGCTTGGCTTTTATCTGACTTGAAATTAGGGCCCCCAGCCTCTCCTCCCACCAGCTTCTTCCCTGGCGGGCTGGCACCAGCACCTCCCCCAGTTCAACCTCCCCCAAGCCTCCTCAGGGTTTGGGGCCTAACCTGCGAAGCTCTCCTCTGCCCCTCAGCCCCCATCAAACAAATGCTTTATGTTCTACCCCCAACCCAGGCTGAGGTCTGTACTCTCCCCTGTGCTTTCCTGGAGGCTGAAAGATTGCTTTGGAGAGCTAGGTTGTCGGGCAGGTGGGCAGGCAGGACGGCCTGTCCCTGTAAGACCTCTGCCACTCACTGGAAAATAGTCATCAGAGGGCAGCTGCTCTCAGACCAACTCCATGCCCCAAGGAAATCTGTGAATTCTCACCAACTCCTCATTCCACAAGGGGGGGGGGGGGAAGGAGGGGAAGGACTGGACATATGAGGGTCCTTTGTCTCCTTTTCTTTTGGGGAAAAGCACTCAGGCCGGGCCTAGTGCTTTATATTGGGGTCACTCACATGGTTCCCATTGCCCCCTACTCCAAAGACCATCAGAGCAGCATCCAAGGGCTTGAGGCCCCTAGTCCTGAGGGTGATGGAAAGATTAAGGTCCCTTTGTCCCACATACACCCCTTCGGGCCTGGGCCTTTAACAGGCAGCAGTTTAGATGTTGGGTTCAGAAGCCCAGGCCTGGAAGATTTCTTAGCTGGAAAATGGGAATGTTTGCCTGCGAAGGCCTGTAGAAATGTCTGCACACGGAGGAAGAGGGTGGGCATGGGCTGGGGTATGGAAAGTGAAAATTTGGTTTAATGGGAAAATGGGCTCTTCCAACCACTGACTCCAAATCTCCAAACCGCACACAAGGTCTAAGAGGGAGATGGGCAGGCTCCTGGCTTTTTCCCCTGCACGCGCTGATTTTTCTCTGAACACTGTGCGCAGGGACCGACCGCAAGCGAGGCCGCCAGACCTACACGCGCTACCAGACCCTGGAGCTGGAGAAGGAGTTCCACTACAACCGCTACCTGACGCGGCGGCGGCGCATCGAGATCGCGCACGCGCTCTGCCTCACGGAAAGACAGATCAAGATCTGGTTCCAGAACCGCCGCATGAAGTGGAAGAAGGAGAACAAGACCGCGGGCCCCGGAGCCACTGACCAGGACAGGGCTGAGGCTGAGGAGGACGAGGAAGAGTGAGGGATGGAGAACGGGCGGAGGAAGAGAGAGATGAGGAGGGGAGAGAGGGAGAAGCCCAGCTTTGGGGACTGAACCAGGAAACTCAGATCAAATAGGGGAGGAATCCCTATTTAAATGGAAAGCAGTTAAAAAAAATTGTTTAAGGAGAGAAGGTGAAATTTTGATTTCTTAACACTGAAAACAAAAACTACCTATAGAAAAGTCCGCCGGGTTTGTTCTGTACAGTATGGGAAGGACGTCACCTACCTGTTCTATAGCTTTCTGGAATTTGCCTCCCCTTTTCTATGTCGCTAACTGTAAGGTCTTTGTAAAATGTTGCTGTTTTGTAAGCTCCCTTCTTTGCCGCTGTCTTTTGTGGTCTGTGGGTCTGGACTAACGTGTTGTTCCCCCACCCTCATGAGCCCACCTTCCCAGTAGAGGCACTGAAGGGGCCTTAGGGAGCCCCAAGGACCCACCGACTAGCTCCATTGTCCTCTGTGTGCACCTGCCCTGCCCGACGCTCCCTGCTCCCGCCTGCCCTGTGATTCTCTTTACATTCTGTGTGTATCTGAAGAAAGGAGAAATAAACACAATTTAAAAACAAACGGATGCTCTATTTTCTGTCTCCCTGAGGCTGGGAGGGGTCAGGGTTAGCCGTGCATCCCCGCACCCCTCCGCTGTGCCGGCTGATGCTGGCCTATTGCGTTCTGGGCTGGGGTCTGCTCTTTTTCCTGGTGCCCCGGCTCTGGGGGCTGCCAGCTAGTGAACTCCAACATCGTACACACGTTCCCTTTACATTTTTTACACACAAACGCACACCATCCCTTATTTATAGGCTGATGCCACCTATAAAGAAATACATCTTGTCATACACAGCCACAGAGAAACACTCGTCTTTCTATATTCACAAATACACCACGTACAGGCGTCCTCACATCCCAACTTCATGCCCAGATACATGCACTCATGTTCACACACACTCACAAGTAAACACAGATTCACACTCGCTGCCAGACACATTTATACATACCAGCGTACATTCACACATTGGCTTATAAACACACAGATTCACATCCCCCCTGCCCCCCAAGTAAACACATCCCGAGCCCACATGCTCAATCGCACACAATCACAAAACAAACCTCACTAAACCCTCGCACTTCCACAAACTTCCCCGCCAGGCCTTCCCCCAGGCCGAGGGCTGGGCAGTGCCGCCAGGGCTCCAGCTGACTTGCAAAGTGCTGGGCCCCATGCGGAGGACGCGCGGAAGGAAAGGGAAAATGACCACCCAATTCCCCTCCGATTCTTGGGATTCCTGGCCGGCGGCGTGGGGCTGCGGCCAGACCAGAAGCAGGAATCCGGGGAGGCCTCCAACGCCAGGCGCTCCCAGCTCAATCGGCAGATATTTTCTGCAAGATCCATGCGGTCATTTTATTTCCATTCATTTTCACTTCCATGTCTTTTCACGTATATGTCCTAAATTAACACAGTGACCCGGATAAAACTTTAAAATGGGGGCTGGGGGCCGAGTGGAGAGAAGGAGAGCCTGGGCCGCGCGAATTTACCGGCTGGTGTGGCCGCGTCCCGGCGCCCGGGCGCCGCCCGCCCCTTCGCCGCCGGCTTCTTCGGCGCCTTTCGGCTCGCTTTTGGCGCCGCCAGCAACCTGCAGTCTCCTCCGGAGCTCAGAGAAAGAGAGAGAAAAGAGAAACATTGGCGGGGGAGTTATTTCGTTTCCAGAATTGGGGCGCCAGGAGCTTAATTCAAAATACCGGCGGAGGGTTTGGGGGGGGGGCTGAGAAACAGGAGGTGCATGGCGTGGTTCTTGGGGTTGCTTTTGCTCCAAAAGACGACTCCCTATTTGAGGGACAAAGCCCCGGAGGCTGGCACCTCCGAAGCTGGACCTGGGGCGCCGGCGCCGAGTTGGAGTGTGTATTCGATGATCAACCCTGGATTTTTATTTCAATGGAAAGAACTGCGGTTGGCGGACTGAAGGAAGAGGATGGGAAGGGAAGCACGTTTTAAAATCTGTTTGATTGGGATTTGTAAGTAAAAGGCCCCTAAACCTGCAATTCCCCCCATTAATGGCCGCAGAACCCCCCGGAGAGCACATGGAGTTGTCCCTGGGAACCTGGGCGTGTGGGCATTTGGGTGGGAGAAGCAGGGACCCCGCTTTAGCCTCCTCCAATTCGTGGGGTGCAGAGGCGAGAATCTGGTTGCTGCACATCTGCCTAGCCCTCCATCAGGGCCACCTTTCCTCCCTGGGGGAAAACTAGGGCCCAGGGGATCTAGGGCCCCCACACCCACAATGCTGCAGCCTCACAGGTGGGGTCCCGCCATTAATAGAGTTAGGAATGAGGGGGGCGTTCAGAGAAGCAGAGGGGGGCACGGAAGCTTTCATTTTACCTCGATGCAATTGGCAACTCAGAACAGCAGCTGCTGCTCCCGACTAACCCCCAAATTGGCTCAGAACAGTCCCCGTGTGGAGTATTTGGGGTGAGTTTTTACTAGAAGAGGGGGCAGAGCTCCTGTGAGAATAGGGAGGTTCCAAAAAGAACCCCCTTCCCAGCTGGACCCTTGTGGCTCCTCGACCTGACTGCCTGCACCCCAAATATCACCCCTTCTTAGGGTGGGGTTTCCCAAAAAAAGCGAGAAGGAGAAGAAAAGAAGATGGCGACTGAGAAAAGGGTTGCTGGTGGAGCAGCCATGAAGAAATGCAATAAATTCCTTGTTGTTTTATGAAAATTTACAACTTTGTGATAGAAGTTTATGAGTGGTTGAATCCAGCGATTGGCCGGCGCCGGTCATGTGGCCGGGCGATCGTGAACATGAACTTTTTATCATTTCCCTGGTGGTTATAATGCAGCATTCTTTTGGACACCACACCTAGGTCGGAGCACTGTCGTCCTTGAGGGTCTCCAGACTCTTGATATTTTTATACTTCAGTATCAGTTCGATCAAGCAAAAGAGAGAGGGAGAGAGAGGAAGAGAGAGGGGGAGAGGAAAGAAGAGAGAGAGGGGGGAAGGAAGGGTGGGAATTACACAAAAGAGAGGACCTAAAATAATTTTAATTCCTAAGTTAATTTCCTTGCTGATCTGGGATTTTAGTCATCATGGAGGGTAAATGGACAATCTGCCCAGGACTGCAGGCTGATACCATTTTTCAAAGCCAGAACTTACTCCATTTTCTATGCAAATATCAGAAAAACGAAACACCCTCTCTCCCAAGTCAGAGAAGGGCAAGCGACGGCTCTCAGGTTGGGACAATATTATCTGGAAGATGAAGAAGAAACCGAACGCTCTTTTTTCCCCCCTCCTTCCTCCCCACCCCTTTCAATCGGAGGACAGAAGCCTCAAGGTCTGCAAAGGTAAGGGAGATTCTACAATTTTCTTCTTATTCTTTTGCCTCGATTTTGTAGGTGGGGCTTGGGTTTGTCTCCCCCCTCCCCTGTCCAAGATGGGGCTGAACCCCACCTCGGGGTGCTGCAGGGAGAGGCTTCCCAGGAAATTCGGCGGTAGAGAGAAGGGTGGCTGCTTCCTGGAGGAGGAACGAAGGCAGGGAAGATGGGAGGAGGACCCGAAAGGGGCCACAGAGGCGAGCTCTAAGTCGGCTTTTTAAGCCGGGAGGAGAGGCTCAAGCGAGGGGGCTGCCAAAGGGAGGATGGGGGTGTTTGGGCTTCAGGGCACTCGAAGAAGCCGGTGGCTACAGCCTCTGTGGGTTTGTGCCTCCACCCCCTCCTCCCACCATCCCTCCCTCGTTCTGGCCTCCCCCCCAATTGCCCCTACGCTGTTCTCTTGCCCGGTTCGGGTGTCGGCAGTTTCCCGGCAGCATTGGCACGAGGGGCGGTGGCGCGGAGGGCCGTCCTGGTCTCTGGAGGGCCTGGAATCTCCGCAGAGGCCATGGCGGGCAAGGAGGCGGCTAGAGAGAGACAGAAAGAACAATTTACGGAGAAACACGCTCATTCTCTCTCTTTGGAGACATTTCTGAAATTAAAGGGCTGTGAGTGGAGGCACCTAAATGGAGGTACTCCCCTCCCCTCAGCCTGCCTGAGAATGCCCAGGTCTCTGGCCACTCCCGGAGGAGGGAGCCTGGCTCTGCAGGGAGACCATGTTGTGGTGTTCAACGCGGTAGGTTACAATGTGCTGGTTTCTGTGCGACGCTGATGCTATTACTTGTGTTTTGTTGGTTTGGGGGGTGTGGGTTTCGGTGGAGGAGAAAATTGCCATTTGCATAACTGATGTTGAAACATTTCAAACTTTCCTGGATCTAAACCTGGTGATTGTGAAGAAGCTGTTCCGTGTGTTGTTGTTTAAGGCTTGTAAATTAAAAAAAAAAAAAAAGGGGGGGGAGAAGAAAATAAAAAGAAAACGCAGTTAGGGGGCCTAATGGTGTCCGGACTAGAGAGCTGCCTGGCGCTGAGCTCAGACAGCTAGTCCTGTCCCTCGGGCGCCAGATTTCATTCCCCAGCCAGGCCTTCTGGGGGTGAAGGGAAGCTTTGGGCCGGAGACGGAGATTCCGAAAGTAGCTGGTGGGGGCGGAAGACGGTGCAAGCCTCTGGGTGTGGACTTAAAATAGAGCGAGAGGGCTTCTGAGGAAGCTGCAAGCCAGGAGATCAGCGACTCTGGAGAGATTGGCTCAGTTTGGTTTGCACGATTAGGCGATGGTTCTCTCTTCCTACAGACCAGAGGCCGAGTGTGGAGCCTCAGGCCCCTGGTTGCCTAAGGAGGCTGTGTCCGGGGATACTGGCCCTCTGGGTCCCGAGCTGGCAGAGAGGGACTCAGCCACTTGTGGCGCGGGAGGGGTCCCTGGAGGCCCAGGTGGATGTCCTCCCAGCAGGCCGGATTGGGGGGCTGGGGGGGGCACCCCGCGCTGCGCATAGCCAGAGAAGGTCTCGGCTACCACCCACGGCACTTGGAGCCTATTCTCAAAGGGAAAACCCCCCCAGACCCACCCGGACGGAAGGTCTTTTTCTCCTGTAGTCTCGGCGGGGTATAAATCATCCCTTAGTTTGCTGTGATCCAAATTATGCGGTTTGCTGCCATCTACCGTCCGTTCGGAGACATGCGGCTTCGGCGCCGCGAGCCCCGCGATGCTGCCTGTACCGTGCCCGACGCCTGGAGCCCGGGCGCTGAGGTTTGGCGGGATTCGGGGACTTCGGGCCCAGATTGTCGCTTCCCGTCGGACCCCGGTTCCCCCCGCCCGAGTGTGGACTAGAGAACTAGTGTCCCCTCCCCCTCGCCCGCCCCATCCTGGCTCCGAACCTTGCGGCTGGCCGGGGAAGCGGCGTTTTCTAGGGCATATTTAAAGGGACTGATGCCGCCTTCCGCGGGCGGGGGGCCCTGAACCCGGGAGCCCCCCATCCACCCACCGCGGGCGCTAGGGGGGATCCTCCGGGCCTCTCGGGAGATCCGAGGCCAAGGCTGTTCAAGGTTTATTTGGTTTTCTTTTTGGCCAAGGGAGGGGCCCGCAGAGGAGGCGCCGGCCCGGCAGTTCCACTCGGTTGTCAAAAGACAACCGGGTCTGTGTTCTCCCGGTTGGCGGTGGGTCTTGCCAGCTCCTTGGCTGGCGAATCGGTGAGGAAGGAATTGAGCCAAATTTTCTGGAAACGGTCGGTGTCTGCAAGTGAGTGGGGGCCCCCTCCCTCATTCTCAATCGTTTCAAGCGAAATAATCGACAAAGATGCTTTGGGGGGAAATTGGGGTACAGCTCAATCACCGAGGAACCAAACCATGGGGATTTTCGTTCCTGCCGGACCCCTCACACCCGCCTTCCCAGAAGGGGTGGCGAGGGCGGGGGTCCGCGCCGCGGCCGCCGCGTTTGAATATTGGCCCCTGTCTCTCGGGTTACTGATTAGCTCGGGCTTTCAAGCCCCAGGAGGAAGCCCTGGCCGTCCCTTTCAAGGTGCGGTGGCCCCGGCTCCTGGGCGGGGGCTCCAGGAAATTGCCTGCGGTGCCGGGCAGGCCGAGGTGTTACTAGGGTCTGGCCTGGAGCTGGAGGGGCCCGGCGGGCTGAGGGCAAACGCCAGGGCTACCGCCCCCAGCGCCCTCGGCAGCCAGAGCGGTTTTCCTGCAGCTGGAAGGCCCGGCCCGGTGCGGGAGGCCCGAGGGAGCGCGCCCCGCCGGGATCGGCCCCCCCCCCCATCAGGCTTTTTCTTGTGGGTAATCCAGAGGTCAGGTGGGGAGGAGAAGGTGGCTGGTACCGAGGGTGGAAACACTGCGGGGCTCCTAGAGCGCTGGCGGACCTGGGGGTGGGGGGAGCGGGAACTGGGCACCGCGGCCCTCCCCACCCCCAGATCAGAGACAAGGTGGTTCATTTGCATATGAAAATGAGGTCCTGGCGCCGAGCTCTGGACCGGCCCGTGTGAAGGGCCTGTTCCGTCTAAACTGCTCGCAAAGGTTGGGAGCCATCACGTTGCTTCCTCTGGGAACGTTTATGCTTCCCAAACCCAGAGACTCACAGAATTGGGTAGACCTGTTTCAACTTGCCACACCCCGGCCAGAGTTACAAGTGGGGTGTGGGGGAAGGTGTCCACAACCCAAAGAGCTGGGGGGGGGGCGCTTTGTAGCTGAGAGGAAAGGGGAAGCCTGGACAATGTCTAATCCCCGCTCCCCTCCCCTCCACACACATACAGGAAGATACCCCTCCCTGGTACAGAGAATTTTCCTCCTGAGCTGAACACAACTGAGGCATTTCCCTGGGAGCTGGAACGTGTGTGCGTCCACAGGGCTGCAGATTCGAAGCACAGAAAACTACAATTATAAACCCTGCCAGTGAGGTTTCTGTGCAATCCTGTTGTGTACTCAAGACTTGGTACACATTTCTATCCACCTCTCCATACGCATGCTTCCTCATGGAAGCAGGGAGAGGACCCCCCCCCCCCCAGACGGGCAGCCGGCTGTGCCCGCTGCTGTGTATTTACATATTCCCCCTTGGAGACAGACAGATGGGACAGTGGACTGAACCACAGACAGATTCGTAGAGATCTGGCTCCAGGAACCAGGCGGCCTCTGGCCCAGCTCTGCCTGCCTGCTCTTTCTCCCAAACAAACGGATCAGAGGAATAAACGCTCATAAATACCTCTGGGTTTAGATAAGAGCGATGAGGCGCTATTTCCTTTCATGCTGGACTACAGGCGCCCAGGCCCTGCCTTTTCGGCTCCATCTCCCGACAGGCAACCTGCAGAGGTGAGGTTAATTTGGGGCTGTGACTCTCTCGAAGGATAAGGGGATCATTTTCCTGCTTCTCTCACCGGGGAATCTTACTTTGTCCAAACTCCACCGGCAAGCCTACACCATCCAGTCCCAAGCCGTGGACATAGTGGCCAGCGAGGGGACAGCGAGGGCTGGAACCCATGGCCCAGCTTCAGTGGCAGGGAGGGGGGAGGTGCACACAGGCACTCGCTCACCTCGCCCGAATGTTCCACGTGCCTCTGTGGGAATGGGCCCAATCATAGCTAGATTGGAACATTTATGATGCTCCAGCATTCGAGGGCTTGAGTTTGTTTTTCTTAAATCTTGATAAAACGACTGCAGAGTCAGGGTAGGAAGGGCTCACCACTTGGCCATGAAGGGGCAACCTAGATGTTGTCCTGAGTTCAGGAAGCCTTGTAGGCCATTTTGCAACCAAACAAGTACCCACCCTTAGTCACCAACCTCAGCCCTCTGCCATTTTCCCCTAGTGTCTTGTCCCACCTTTAGTGGGTAGAGCTGGCCCATAGAAAGGAGCCCAGAGAGCAAGGTAGAGAGGAGGCGCAGCCTGGCCCCTCATCAGCTTTTGCCCCACACCCTGGCCCATGCCCAGCTCCAGGTCTGAAGGTGGTCCCCCTTGACATCCTCTACGTGAATATTAGAATTTTGAACACACACGGTGGCTGTCTTCCAGCCTGGCGTCAATGTTCACTTTCTTCAGACGAGAGCCAGAGACCTGCACTCTCACACACGCAAGCTTGTACTGCAGCAAAGCGGGTGCTGCAAAAATGAGAGGGGGGTGGGAGGGACGGTAGAGATGCTGAGAGACAGAGGGTGGTGAGCATCTGGAGAGGGGATGTGGGCTGATAGTTCTAAGCTGCCTGCTGAGACCCAAACCCTCTTCCCTCCTTATACAACTAAACCAAAATGAAGTCTGGGGAAAGAATTAATTTTAAAAAGAACGGCCAGCTTCTGGAGAGACTTGGAAAAGGTGTGAGGACCCCTCTCTTCCTGGTGGTCTCTAATCGCCTCCACTATCAGGAGGGTTTGAGGACCCCAACTTAGAGGAGGACCAATTTCTCTCCTATACCCTCTTTCTGAGACAACCTTGATTCCTAAGCATCTGTCGCCCAGGATATTTTCATGTCTTTGTGGGGGTGAAGGTTGCAGGCAGGATAAGTGATCAGACAAACCCAGGCTGGGGGACGCCCCTCACGCCCCCTCTCTTTATCCCTAAGTGGAGAGGACTAGACCCTCTCCCCATCGCCCCTTCCTGTGCCCAGAGCAAGCGTGCACACTAGACCCAGGCGTGATGTCTTGAGGAGCAGCCATAGCGGCCCAGGAGGCTCCTAACCCAGCTGCAGAGCCAGGAGAAGGTTAAGCTCAGACCCTCCTCCCATTTACCGGCCTTCGGGGTCCTCTGGGCAGCAGGCTCTGGCCTGCCTCTCAGACCACGAGAGCTGTGGAGAAGCAGGAATCATAATCCCAGGCTTGGAAGAGATAGAGTGGATCTGAGAAACAAGGGGAAGAGGGTTGTCTTCAAAACCTGGGAAGGGGATGGTTTCCTTTTCGCCTCTCTCTCTCTCTCTCTCTCTCTGAAGGGATGCTAGTTAGCGGCGAACTCTTCTCCCCTTCGACCAACACAAACCCCTAGAAATAAACCGCCTTTGGTTCTCTCCTGGCTGGCCTGAGATGTGAGATTCAGGGATGGCTGCCCACCCTTCCCTTGGGGGGAATGGGGCTCAAGCCACGCAGGGGTTAACTTTCCTGAAAACACAATTAACTTTTTCCTATCCTGAGTGGGGAGGGAGGGGGAGATTTATTTAATCACTGGGGGATGCGGTGGTCTCCACCAAAGCTCCCTCCTCCCGCACAGACGTCTCTCTCGCAGATCCTACGTAGAGGGAACAGAACGCGTAGTGTTGTTGAGGGAGAGAGAGAGAGAGAAAGGAGAAGGAGAAGAAGGAGGGAAAAAAAAGGTTGATAGGTTTGTGCGCGGGTCCCTCGCGCGGGCCGCGCTCCTCCTGGGTGCTATTTGACAATTCCTGCCTCTGCCATTGGTCAGCGCCGGATCAGATGCTTGTATTTCCTTCTGGCCCTCACTGGCACCTCGCCATCCCCCCTCAGCGAAAACCCAATCTCAGATATACTACTAATAGGCGCGGCGCTCGGACTATAAAACACAACAAATCATAAGCCCGGCGGAGCAGCAGCGGCCGCGCGCCTCCCTCCCAATGAGTTCCTATTTCGTGAACTCCACCTTCCCCGTCACTCTGGCCAGCGGGCAGGAGTCCTTCCTGGGCCAGCTCCCGCTCTACTCCTCCGGCTATGCGGACCCGCTGCGGCACTACCCCGCGCCCTACGGGCCCGCGCCCGGCCAGGACAAGGGCTTTGCCGCCTCCTCCTACTACCCGCCGGCGGGCGGCGGCTACGGCCGAGCGGCGCCCTGCGACTACGGCCCGGCGCCCGCCTTCTACCGCGAGAAGGAGTCGGCCTGCGCGCTCTCCGGGGCCGACGAGCCGCCCCCCTTCCTCCCCGAGCCGCGCAAGTCCGACTGCGCGCAGGACAAGAGCGTGTTCGGCGAGCCCGACGAGCAGAAGTGCTCCACGCCCGTCTACCCGTGGATGCAGCGGATGAACTCGTGCAACAGTGAGTGAGGCGCCGCCGCGGCCGCGGTCCCTGCGGGCGCCCGCCCCGGGAGACAGAACTAGTGGGCCCCCCCTTCTCTCACTGGGTGCCGGCTGGGCATCTCAGTTAGGATCGAAGGGGAGACGGGGCGCCTGTCCAGGGTCCCCTGCGCTGCCCTCTCACCCCCAGGAGTTAGAAAGTTTGCCAAGTCCCAGCCGCACTCGGAGCCAGGGAAGCGAGTGGGGCCCGCCGAGCCAGGGGGCCAGGCCAACCCGGGGTCGCAGCCACGGGCTTGGCTTTCCCCGGGGCCCCAAGTCCTGGTCGGCCCCCCACCCCAAGACGGTTGCACTAAAACCCTAGTGCGTCACGGGAAGGGGGCGGTGTGACGCTGGCAGGGGAGAGCGGAGTCTGTCCCGCACTGTTTCCCTGGGGGTGGGGGGCTGGCGAAGGATGAGGCACCAGGAAAGGGGCGGTCGTCAGAGGAAGGAGGAGAAGAAGGGGACGGGAAAGAGTGGGAGCAGACGGAGGGGGTGAGTGGGAGAGGCAGGCGCCGGGGTCTCAGGGTGGATTATCTGTGGGCCTTAAGTCCCAAATTGATGTCCATTAGCGGGACAAGAGAGTGAGGAGCCGTTAATGCCCACTGTGGATCGATCCACGTCATTGCGGATTAGGGGCTGGAATCTGTCACCGGGGGTGGGGGTGGGGGGTGGGGGTGGGGGCTAGATGCCTGCAAAGAGAAGAGGCAGCTGGGAGCAGACACACCTGGGCGCCGCTTCTGCAGCCCCTCCCCCGCGGCTCAGGTGGGAGTTTTGCTCTGCTCCTCCCCTCCCCCCACGGAAAGGCTAGGGAGGCGCAGGCCCAGGAGGCCCGGAGGGCATCTGGAGGGGGCGCTGCAGGGACCCGGGGAGGGAAGGGCGCCCCGGGACGGGCTGGAGCCCCTGTGTGAGGGTCGAGTGGGAAAGGGAGCCCTGGCCCTGGTGAGCCCAGGCCTCAGCATCTCCTCTCTACGTAACAGGTTCCTCCTTTGGGCCCAGCGGCCGGCGCGGCCGCCAGACCTACACGCGCTACCAGACCCTGGAGCTGGAGAAGGAGTTCCACTACAACCGCTACCTGACGCGGCGGCGGCGCATCGAGATCGCGCACGCCCTGTGCCTGACCGAGCGGCAGATCAAGATCTGGTTCCAGAACCGGCGCATGAAGTGGAAAAAGGAGAGCAAACTGCTCAGCGCGGCTCAGCTCAGTGCGGAGGAGGAGGAGGAGAAGCCCGCGGAGTGAAGGCGCTGGGAAGGCCGGGGGCGCGAAGGGAGAGGCCTGTGGGCAGCCGAGGGCCTTGGAGCTCTGGAGAAGGCTCTGCGGGCGGGGGGCGCCTGGGGACCCGCTCCCCAGCACGAGACGGGCGGGGCCCAGGGCTCCCCGCGTCGCCCCCGCCCGCAGAGCTCTGGCGGGTGCCGGAAGGCGGTGCAGCCTGAGCCCACCCGGCCCCCCTCGGGCCCCCTCCCTCCCCGCCGCACCCGCCTCCGCCTGACCAGGCTCCCTCCCCCCGCCCCGTGAGAACTGAGGACCGGACTCACTCGAGGTTTCCTGGAAGCAGAGCAAAAACACTCTTGTCCGTGTCGCATCTCATTTCGCCCCCGTCCCCCCGTGCACGGTTCAATGGTAGCTTCGCAGCCCCCTCAGCGGGGGCCTCGAAGACTCCCTGACCCCAGACCTCTGGCCCAGTCCCTCCCCGAAGCCACTGGAAGGAGCACATACTACCTAGAAGCAAGAAGAGGAGCCTGAGAAGAAAACAAAGTTCTATTTTATTAATTTTCTATGTGTTGTGTTTGTAGTCTTGTCTTAGCTCTGGACGTGAAATACTTCCGTAATAATATTAATATTATTAATAATGATGATGATGATGATAATAATAAAGACATAAAAACTCGCCGCTTGGTCACCTCTGCTCTTGCCGGCCACGCCCCCACCCCCGCGGCTACCCCGCGGCCCCCGGGCCGGAAACTCGGCCGCACCGGCTGCAGCGCCCGCGGCCCGGCCCCGGGGCCTGGCTGGACTCGGAAGTTACAGTTGAGATAAAGGCTGGAGCTTCCAGCGCCGCTCGCCTCGCCGGTGCTGGGGCTCCGAACGGCCTCTCTCGGTGCAGACTTGGGGGACCCAGAAGGGCCGTTTCCCTCGTATTCTGCAGCATTCCCCGTTTGCCCGTGGCAGGAGGGACGCCACCCAGGCCCCCTAGCCCCAGCTCCTGTAGACACTGAGCCAGGAGGGTCTCGCGCCCGAGCAGCGCTTTTTGGTCCTCCGAGGCCGTGGCCTTTGGCCTGTCCACATGGCCCGATCCCTGCTGGCCTTGGACCTCAGGCTCTTGGCTTGTGGCTCGGAGACCGACCAAATCAGGGTCGTGCGATATCTCTTCCCCCGAAGCTGAAAGCTCCAGGCGCCTTTTCCTGCCTTAAGTAGTTCAGTGACAAGGAGGGGGATGCGAAGCCAGGGGCAGGCCGGGCGCTGGCGGAAGGGCAGGACTTTCTCCTCCTTGGGAAACCTGAGAGTAGGGGGCCAGGTTAGGGGGCAGGCTAGTCTGCTCTCATCCAATCTACCCAAAACGACCCATTCTCTCTTATCCCCACCCGCGCCCAGGCGTCAAGCTGTGGACGCTGTTTTCCTTTCTTCCTCCTCTCTCTCTCTCTCTCTCCCTTTTTTTATTTTTAAAGAAAATAGCCTATCGGCAGAAGGGGCCCAGCTGCGGCTTGTCTCTGGCCGCCCAGCGGGCTCAGCAAGGCGTTGCTGGTCCTTGGAACCTCTTCCTGGGGAAGGCATGGGCCGGCCGCGGGGCACATTCAGAAAGTACCCAGACGCTAGCGAGGGGCCTCCACAGGCCATAGCAGGCATCTGGTGCGGAGGCGAAAGGCTCCTGCCTGATCCCGAACTCTGAAAACCTCGTTTCCACCCAGACCCCAGTCCCCCGATGCGGTCGCCGCCTCCGTTTTTCCCTGACAATTAGGCCGTTTAGCCTCAGCCAGGTTCCTCCTCGGGGTCCCTGGCCGGCTCTGCCATTCCCCAGGCTGGGCTAAGGGTGGGAAGGAGGTGGAGAAGAGGATTCCCAAATTCTAAGAGACACAGGAGAAGCGAAAGTTTTTCCTTCCAACACTCGGCCCAGCCCTGCCTGCTTGGCCTGAGGGCTGTGGATGGGCCACGGCAGCCCCGTAGGAAGCAGGCCAGGCCGGGCTGGTGTGTGAGGGTGTGGGTATTCCGTGTCAGTAATTGTTTCCCACACCCATCTTCCAGCCCTCTCTCCTATTTCCGCGCCCTACCCGGAGACTTGCAAAAACCAGAGTGAGGGAAAAGCAACTCAATGTCTGATCATCTCATCCAGAGTTAAAATAATAATGACAGAGCGAAGAACACAACTAGAGAGAAATAACCACACTCCCAGGAAAGTGAGTAAAGGCTCAAAAGGGTCCCTCCTCTCAAAGACTCAACCCTGCGGGTGACCCTAGGCCGGGTTTCCTTCCCGCCTGACAGTTTTCGGGGAGCCAGCAGGGAGGCAGCCAGCCTCCGCCGCCATGGCGGTCTGCGGCCGGCGCTCCCGCCGATTGCCGGGAGGTGGCGCGCTCTGCTCAGAGGCCGCTGCCAGCCTTCTCCCGGCGTCTCCCCCTTCTCCTTGTTTCCCCCTCTCTCGGAGGCTCGCATTGAATCGGCCCTAACGATTCTCGGATCGTCATTATTTGTAACCATAGAGCATGAATTACCTCTTGAGGTCATCAGTGAGAATTTACGACTGGTCAACAAAAGCACGTGATTCCCTAACGCCCCCCCATCCCCCTTCCAACCTCCCCCCCCATATTTGGCCGCATACATAGCAAAACGAAGTACAGTGCATCGCTATAATTCATTAATACATCATAAATCGTGAAGCACAGGGTTATAACGACCACGATCCACAAATCAAGCCCTCCAAAATCACCCAAATGAGCTCCTACTTTGTAAACTCCTTCTCGGGGCGTTATCCAAATGGCCCGGACTATCAGTTGCTAAATTATGGCAGTGGCAGCTCTCTGAGCGGCTCTTACAGGGATCCCGCTGCCATGCACACCGGCTCTTACGGCTACAATTACAATGGGATGGACCTCAGCGTCAACCGCTCCTCGGCCTCCTCCAGCCACTTTGGGGCGGCGGTGGGCGAGGGCTCGCGCGCCTTCCCCACGCCCGCCCAGGAGCCCCGCTTCAGGCCAGCGGCGTCGAGCTGCTCCCTGTCCTCGCCCGAGTCCCTGCCCTGCACCAACGGCGACAGCCACGGCGCCAAGCCCTCTGCCTCGTCCCCCTCCGACCAGGCGACCCCGGCCAGCTCCAGCGCCAATTTCACCGAAATAGACGAGGCCAGCGCGTCCTCGGAGCCAGAGGAAGCGGCGAGCCAGCTAAACAGCCCGAGCCTGGCTCGGGCGCAGCCAGAGCCCATGGCCACCTCCACGGCCGCGCCCGAGGGGCAGACTCCGCAGATCTTTCCCTGGATGAGGAAGCTGCACATCAGCCATGGTAATTCTGGCTCTCTCCTCTTTTTTGTGTCTTCTCGGCCGTGCCTTCTCTGCGTTTGGGGGGTGGGGGTCGGGGCGGGGAGCGGTAGGCTTTCCTCAAATAGAGGTTTATTATTTTTTCCAGGGGGGGCAGAAGTCTCTAAGAGAGTCCTCACAGCTCCGGGGACAGAGCCAAAGAAGGTGTTTAGCTGGGAGGGGGGGGGGGTCGGGGAGGAGTATTTTAAATAATTTGTTCCCCGACTCGGCTTGGGTTTTATTCGCCCAGCGGTACTAGCTTTGGGATGAGGGATGGGGTTTCTGGAAGGTGGGGAAGGGTCCTGCTCGCTACCGAAATGTTGAGGCTGCCACCGGCAGAGGAGGGGCGAGGAGTCCAGCTTTCCAGGGCCAAAGTGCAGCCGCTCTCCTCCCTCCGGGGGGCCAGCGGGCCGGCCTGAGCCCAGCGCAGGGTGAGGCGCAGGGAGGGAGCCAGAGACAAAGCCGGGCGCTTCGCTGCCCGCAGACGTGGGGGCTGCAGGAGAAGAGGGTGCAGAAAGCGAGCTCGGATTCGGGGCCTCAGGAGTGGGGAGGATGGGCGCTGCAGCGAGCTGGTGGCCGGGGACGCCTGGGTCCTGCTCCACGCCCCCCTCCCACCCGGGGCCCCCCTCCCTGAACCCGAGTAACGTGGCCTCGCGGCTCTGCTCTGTCTGCTCCAGATATGACCGGGCCTGACGGCAAGAGGGCCCGGACCGCCTACACCCGCTACCAGACCCTGGAGCTGGAGAAGGAGTTCCACTTCAACCGCTACCTGACCCGGCGGCGGCGCATCGAGATCGCCCACGCGCTCTGCCTGTCCGAGCGCCAGATCAAGATCTGGTTCCAGAACCGGCGCATGAAGTGGAAGAAAGATAACAAACTGAAAAGTATGAGCCTGGCCACAGCCGGCAGCGCCTTCCAGCCCTGAGTCCTCTGGGAGGAGCCCTGGGCGGCCCAAGAGCCCTGGCCGCCCCCAGCCCCGGCCCCTCCGAGCCTCCCCGCGCCGCCGCCGCCGCCGCCGCCGCCGCCCGCTGGGGACTGGATCCCATGCGCCTGCCTCGCCCCAGCCTTGTGTTACCATGTTTCCTTTGGTCTTAGATCTTCCTGTGGCTCCCTCTCTCCTGGACTGGTTGATCTTGTTATTATTGTTAATAATGATGATAATTATTATTTCCCCTCCCTGCTCCTGGCTCCCCTCCGCGCCCCCCACATCCACCAGTGTTTCTGAATGTTCGTGTCCGTGGTTGCACTCCTTCCCCCAGGAAGAAAAGAAACTCGCATGTGTAATGTGAACTTTCCCCTCCCCATCTTGTTCTTCTAACTTATTTATAAAAGGATGAGCGCTGTATTTTGAGTTTCAGCTGGAAACTTCTCTAAGGGGCAGCAGTGGAGGTGGGGTGGTTCCGCAGTGCCGGGCCCAGCTGAGCTGGCCTCGGAGATGGAGTCCATGACTGTGTTTCTTTCCGCCCTCCTCTCCCTCCGCCCTCTCCACTCCCCAGGCCCAAGTCTCTTGGTGGCTTGGTCCCGGGGTGCGAAGGGGCCAGGGAGGACCAAAGCCGTGATGTTGAGAAGAGGGAAGGTGTATAGTGAGATTTGAGTTCCTGCCGCCTGGGTAGGCCCCACAGGCCTGCTCTGGGAGTGTACGGAAACAAAAAGAATCCTCAGTGTAAAATGTCTTGTGTATTCCTCTGTGAATCCATGGGTCTGGTGTAGAGAGGCCTAACGCTTGTAAATACGGGGATACTCTGGGTAGACCCATCTCCTTCCCCCCCTTATCCATTTTGCTTCCAAGACTATTTGTAGTGAGCGAGTGGATGCTGTGCTACATGTGAAATCTGTCTTTGCCGGGCCTGTCTCAGTGATTCGCTTTTGGTATTTGTTTGTAGCTTTCCTTAAAGTCAAATAAATGTTTCCCCTACTCCACTGCCCTTCCACTTGTCTTTTCTCTGAGGGGCCTGCCTCTCCCATCACTGGGCACACCCTAGACCATGCTTGATGGGTCTGGGGAGCAGGGAAGGGAAAACAGGATGCTCACCAGCAGCCCCTCTCAACTACCTAAGCCCCTGGCTGGCTCAGCAGTGCTTGGGCCAGAGGACAGGCCTGCACGCCTGGGGGACTGAGGCCCAGAAACCCCACCTGGGGCCGGGGCAGGGAAAGGCTGAGCTGGACTTCATCCTGGCCTTCCACCAGCTGGTCAGAAAAGCCCCTGAAACCTCTTCAGGGAATGTAATTTGGGCCTAAGTTCTGAGCAGGAGGCTCCTGGCCAGTTGGGAGTGGTACTGGGGTATCCAGCTCCAAATCCCAATTCAGTTCTGCCACCCACTAAAGCAAAACAAATAAATAAATAAATCCGCTGGATTTCAAAGGGTTCCCTCACCCTCAATCTTCTCTGCACTTATCAAGGGCTCTCTCTCTCTCTCCAGGGGCCTAACTGACCTTCCCTCTTGATTAGGAGTTGGGGGGTCCCTCCTGGAAGACCCCCTGGTTCCCCCTCCAGTCAGACTGGCCTAGGGCCAGGGCCCAGTCCTCCTCCATCCAAGTCAGCCTCCACCCTGAGCGCAAGAGTCAAGTCTGAACACTTACCCGCACATCCCTTCCAGCTTGGCCCAACTTCTTACAGGACTTGTGGGGGAGGGGAAGCTGGTGAGGAGGCAGCAGAGGGTCTTGGAGGCTCTACTGGGCCCTCTTTCCCCCTCACCCCTTGACTTTGTCCCCCTTTGTCCATAGCAAACTATCCCAAAAGTCGCTATGACATTTAGATGTCAAATGGATAGGGGTTTTATCTCGAACTTAGATCGTAAAAATCGCGGAGAAGTCAGACAGATACCCCTCACTGGCTCGAGAAAGTCACGTGAGGTCCATAAAGTTAGTTTTATGGTTTTGGGGAGTTGACACCGCACGGTATATTTCACATTCTCCAGAATGTTAAGTGACACTTTAACTGCTCGCTGTGGTGGGGAAGGGGGCAGAGGTAGGTGAGGGCTCTCCCAGCCCAGAAGGCAGTGGCGGCAGCGGAGGCCCAGCACTCCCGCAGTAAGTGGCTTCCAGCTTTTGCTTTCTCCCCTTGCAATGTTGGGGCTTGGAACTGGGGAAGGAAATCTTGCCTCCGACAGGGCTATAGGATAAGTGGGCGAAATTTGGTCTGCTTTTTGCTTTTTGCACCAAGATCTGACCAACTGGGTGTCTGAATGGGGGGGGGCGCATTTAGTTCAATAAGGTCTCAGTGGTGGGGGCGCCTGGTTTTTTATTTGCAATAGTGTCTGACTCTTTGTGGGGGAAAGGGTCTGTGTGGGTTCCTTCAGTGTCCTTGGAAATGTAGGTGGTAAGAATAAGGGGAGTGTGGTACTGAAAGAAGGGCCCCTTGTGGGGGCCAATTCACTGCTGGGTCTTCAGACAGAGGTCTCCCACCCCCAGGAAAGAAACTTTATGGCATTCATTTGTTAGGGGTGTGTTGGGGGTGCGCTGCTGGGCACTTTTATCTGGCTACATCTGAACTGAGAAAAAGCACCCAGAAGGCTAAGGCAGCTGGCTTGCACTGGAATATTCTTTGGTTTTCAGATCTTTGAACCCCATGAAAGGGGTACCTCTGATTCTCTATAGCCTCATCAGGATTATCCAAGATGGGAAGCATGGCGCTTTTGCACCCCACTTCAGCCTGTTGGTCCCAAGCCTACCCTTCTTCTGGGCTCTAAGTAGGGTCCTGAGATCAGAGTGGAGAGCGGACAGGGCTGCAGTGGGCTGAAGCGGGGAGCTTCTCCCCCTGATTAGAGGGGTTAGATGCTGAAGTAGGTCCCAGAAGATCCTTCCACAAATAAAACTTGCTCAAGAAAGTAGACCCAACTGTCTGGAGGGATAAAAGGGACTCAGGAGCTGGGAGAGAAAATAGAAAAGGTGCTTTCTTTCCCGTCCTCTCCTCTCTCGCTACCAGATCCTTAAATGCCCTTTTGTTTTGTGGCACCACAAACCAAAGGGATTTCATTATTTGACTCTCAGGAGCCTGTTATTTTCCAAGGATAAGTCACCCTTCCAAAAACCAGAGGCTCTTCTCCACCAAATTGACCCCCAATTTTGAGACTTATTGGGTCAACCACCTTGTCACTCCAGCTTTTGCCAGCCTGCCAGCTCTTGCTTCCGCTGACCAATTCCTGTGGATAGTGCCTGGAATTGGACCATGTGGCACCTTAAGAAGCTTCTGGTCTTTGGGACAAGGGAAGGGTCACAAGATTCCCTCCATTCCCCCTCAAAGGACCTTCTCCCTCTCTCCCTCTGTCCCCGCAGCTACCCTCTGCTTCCTGAGCTCTTCAATCCCTGCATGGGCCTGACTTACAGGAGAGCCTTCACAGGCTCTGAGAGCAGAAAGGACAGAGAGCTTGGGGTCCTCACCCTGATTTGAAGACCCATCTCCTCAAGAATGATGGGGCATTTGTACACTTTGGAAAGGAGGAAAGGAGGCTCTTCTCCCAAAAGATTCCCAACAGCATATCAAATATAATAATACATGTCGGCCAGAGCTTCCACCGGCTTCCACTGTGGATAAGGCAGATGAGTTGAGTGAGGTGCAGAGGAAATTGCCTCAGGGGCAGAATCCGACCTGGGGCCTCCTGGGAAGCCCCATCCTGTTTCGAGCCTGCCTCCCCTCTCTCAGAAACGCCAGACCACCAGGCCTGCGTCCCTGCAGATTTTTTGGCCCTCTCCCATGTCAGTTCTGCAAATTCTGATAAAGAGTGTGGGACCTACGGCCCAGGACATGTGCTGGGCATATCTAGACAGATTTTCCGGAGTGGTAAAGAGCAGCCCAGAGCAGGCGGATTGCCCATTTCCGCTGCGGAGGCCAAAGCGCTTGGAAGGTCTTCTGCTCTAAGCGGTCCCGGAGAAGACGCACTTGCTGGGCTTTCCTCTTCTCCCCTTGAGTAACCGTCTCTGGATAACAGTCTTCCTTGAACCCCAACAGGGACCTGTTTGAGGAGGAGATGAGAGGTGAGCAGGGGTCTTTGGTGCAAAGGAGCTCAGTCCTCTGCCCCAGACCCCCACCCTCCCCTCCCACCTTCCTCAAGACATTCTCCAGGTCTTGCTGGGACTTTTCACCCCCTCCTCTCCTACCAGCGACCGCGGCTTCCTCTCGATTCAGGCCTCAACCTTCTGAGCTGCCGTCTGGTGCCATCTGGCCAGATCCTTGCGCCCAGCCTCCCAGCCAACAGCGCACCCTCACCTCCGGGCAGGGCCCAGGAGGCGGCAGCAGGACTTTGAGGCTGAAGTTTCCCTTTCCCCCTTGGAGGCCAGCCTGACCATCACTCAGTAGACAATTTGATTGTTTTGTTTTATTTGGTTGTGTTTTTTGTTTGTTTGTTTTGTGTTGTTTCTCCTTGGCCACAGGGGTGGGAGGAAGTATAAAGAAGTGTAAACAGGAAAGCCAGCCGGCCTGGAGTTCCGAGGGCCCATATTTCATTGGCTTCCTTTCCATAACTGCAGCCGGGACACTTAACCCTTCCCTGGCTGTGAGAAGGTATTCACTCGGGGCTGGTGAGGCAGGGTGTGGGGAGGAGAGACAAGTTGGAAGCTCCTTTCTGGCCCTGATCCCTTTATCCCTGGGGTCAGGGTGCCGGGGTGGAAGGCTGAGGATTCAGAGCAAGGGAGAAGACAGGCAGACGGCACTGTGCAATCGCCCACACTCAGTCCCTGCGGGGACGGAGAGGAGAAGGCTCATGCACTTCACAGCCTGGGGCCAACCTGGGTCAACCAGGGAGGACAGGGCTGGCAAGAACCCCTCCCTTTGGATAGGGGAGAGCCCACTGGCCATTCTCTTCATTTTGGGAGATTCTGGGAGTAATCAGATTTCAGGCTGGGCTCTGCCCACAGCGGGATTTATCGATTACTGCAGCACTGTTACACATCCATATTAATTAACCCAGACACCGCCTAGAAACCAAGCAGGGGGAGGGGAGAAATAGGGGCTCCTTAAGGAGTAGGGACAAATCTCTCTGAGCGTCCCTGGGGCCCAGATTGGAGAGTCATTCCCCACAAGAATCCTATGGCCTTCCCTAGCTCAGTTCCTGCACTTCTCAGCAGGGATAAGTGAGAGGTACGCTCTACAGTCCACCTCACACCAAATCTCCTGGGGGAGGGGGGGGGGAGGGGAGGAGAGGGAAGGAATTAAATACCTACCCCCAGGACCGAAGGACTTTTCCTAGTCAGAATTAGGGTGCCCCAGCCCTCGAATGGACGGATTTTTTGATACTTGTTCCCTGCTTGACCTTTATAGAAGGGTTAGTGCTCCTCCCCACCTTTTTTCAACTTCCCCAAGGTAGAAGCTTCTTCTGGTCTGGAAGCTTGTTTTGTTTTAGTGTTTGGTGGTGGTGGTGGTAGTGATGGCCGATCCCTTCCTCCTGCCCCTCCCTCCAAAAAGTGATTAAAATCTGTTAAAGGATTTAATTAAGAGAGTTAAATGAAAATGAAGGAGGCGCAAATGAGTTGGGGAAGAAAACCCACACCAAAGCTATTCTCAACGATTAAATCGCCATTTTAACAATATAATGGAGTTTGCATCCTGAAAGGGGAAATCAACGCTCATATCTCATCAATAATTCATAGAGTTCGGGATCACGCAGAGGTCAGCAGACAGGGCCAGAGCGCCGGCCTACGTGGGGCTGCCAGCCGCTGCCGCATACATTATTCGCCGGGTGCCAGCCGCTACCTCCACCGCTCTGCCCGGGCCGGGGCATGCCGGCAGGTTTAGGCGGATTTTGTGTTCTTTCATTTTGGAGAATTTACTGCGACCACATTTCGGGCTCCAGGAGGAGAGGGGATTTAGGAGACTGAAAGGATTGAACTTCAGGCAGTTGGGGATCTGTCCGACTCCCAATATGACCACCTTCCCAAATTGTACTCTCTCTTCCCCTTATCTCTCCTCCC